CACGGGCCATTGAGGACAACCGTGTCGTTGGACACTTTGATCTGTGGACAAGATGCGTGGCTGGACAACTTCAAGACAGACCATTCATTAGACTTTTCTTAACCAGTTTGCGCCGGAGGCCGTGTATACACGCAAAGGTTTTGCGGTATTTGGAATGAAAGACGGATAAACACGCAGGGAGTGAGGCCGGAAATATCTGTCAGCGACCCACTCGCAGCGAGCGAGGTCTGAAAAATAAATGTGCTGCCCGAGGGTGATGGCTTCAGCCGGCCTGGTTTCAGGTTGAGTAAAAAGTAATCCCGCGCCTCATTCCGTTCCTGTCAAAATAATCCCGGCGTGAACTGGTTAAAAACAAAAGGCAAATCCATGGCATTAGGAAGACTTGAATAGTTTCCAAGTCACCAGTACGGTTTCTCATAAGACCTGAGAACAATGTATTTTCTTTATTCTTGAAGGTTTGAGGACGAAAAATCGGAGTTGTTGAGACATGATGGACATATGTTAATGGAACATGAACAAACGGCTGAACCAAATAAAAATAATAAGTGAGAACAATATTAATAGTAACAATAAGTTGTTAGCCAATTATAAATGCTGATGTGAGGTAATACATGTGGTCATGCCATAGGGCAGTTGAAACATTATGCTGGATACTTTTGTATTTGTGGTGCTATTGTCCATACTAAGGTATGAAATAAATTACCTATATCAGTGGTAAAAAAAATGAATAAATAACATTTATTAAATTTCATTTACATTATGCCATGGATTTGCTTTCATCATTTGCTAACTTGGAAACTTGAATGAATTTAAGGAGCTTAAATGTCTTTAGTATGCAAATCACTTGAAACAATATTCCAGGCACGTGTCACAAAAATCCAACAACTACAAGGAAAGCATTGGCTGATGCAGGAGGGGCTGAGGGGGATGAAGCCCACCCCCAATTCTAATTGAATAGTTCCTTAAACTCCGCCCCCCACGTCGATGAAAAAGAAATGTGCCAGCAAAGGAACGTGCTCAAGTGTAGAGGCATCCAAGATGCATTGTTGTTAATCTATTGTGACACGTGCCTGGTTGTACATTTGTTGTTTTGATTTTCCATTTTGAGTATTGTACATGTATTATTCGGAAATAATTTTGAGATCTACACCAGCACATCATATAAATGTTTGAACAGAAATGTAGCGTATCAAATACCAGTACTTCAATCGAGATTTACTTAAGCATGGGATCGTGGGAAAAAATCACACCCGGAATTCCTTGATGAAGTTGATTTTTTAAACACATGCTGTCATGTGCCGTTTAGTTTTGTTGGCAATATTTTGGCAAACAGCTTTCAAACTTGAAATATTGAAAGTTACATCATGAACCGAAAGGAAAAAAATCGATGGATTTTTTGGCATCATATCGATGATTCAAATTGGACTTGATGTATTGACAGCTATCTTTCTTTGATACCTTGTTTAAGCGTATCAATTTTGGGGCTATTATAAGATGGAAACACACTGAGTATACAGTTTAAACGTCGGTGAAAACCTATAATTTAATTTGGGGCTGCAAAGTCCAAGGTCCTGTATATAAAGTCGGTGTGATGTCCTTAACCGTTATAAATATATCCGCAGCTGAACCAGCTGCAACTTTATTTCTGTCGACTTTCCAAAACTACAACCGATAGAATTGGGCTGTCTGTTTTGCCTTTGATTACGAATACAGTGCAGTTTTCAAAAGAAACAATATTCAAGTTGATCTTGAATATGTAGTGTATTTATATAATGTGCTGGTGTAGATCACATTGTGATTGAATTAAAGCAAATGTTTAGGTTGTTGTGTTTGTTTATTCTATTATCTGCTGTCTATTTCAACATATTGAACGGCAATCCAAATGCGTCAACTATTGCTCATTTGTAAGAAAGAAATGTGCACTGTTTTGATAAACTTGAGAACTTTGTTACTATTAGTAACTGTGTGACCCATAACGTACAGTGCAATATTCGAAACAGCCAACCCATCCTGCAAGCTCGGAGGTTGTGGGTTTCGATTCCCACCCGAGTGATTTGCTTTCCATCCTTTATTCGGTCGGTAACACACAGTGCTTATACCTCGATGAAGGGTAAAAACCTAATATTGATTTACATCACCCAATGCAAATTCCATCTTATAGTGCAATATTTGTTAACGTACGTACCGGTACTTTGCATGAAAAATATTTTGCCGTGACTCTATAAATCATACCTTCGGCAAGGCAATTAATTCGGGCGATTCACAATGCAGTGCGCCACCAAGAGTTTACGACGGAGAGTTCAGTTTTCCCAGTGCATTGCGGGAGATGGTTGACAAATTCACAGCGCGGGGCATTTGAAATTGTTAATTTTTCGAGTCAATAGTTCCGTAACCGTGTGAGTCGAGTACATGTACGTATTTGCCCTTTTCTTTTTATCGGTATGATATTTTTTGTAAGGCGGCAGAACGCTATGCCCTAATCTAAAACAAATACGCTCAAGTTGTCTTTAGAAAGACACTTGTTCAAATGGGCCATGTTTTGTCGACCGTAAAGTTGAAATATTGACTCTCCACACAAAACTCGCGGTGGCGCACTGCATTGTGAATCAGCCGAATTCAAAAACATTATTTAAGTGAAAAATATGTTGAAATAGACAGCAGATTTGTTTTCCTAATGTTTCTGTTGGGATTTTGAACACACACACTGCACCAGTGACGTATAGCAGGGATGCCAGTTATGCTACAGCCTGAATTCATGTTTTTTCATGTCTTGGGAAAAAACAAACTCAGACATTCCAACCCTTTACAAGTCAAATAAGTTATTTTGTAGCATGCACAGAACAAGTACCAAGTGGTACAACCCATGGTGGCCGTATAACGTGTGAAGAAGGCTTACGGCACCGTTCGTGCACCCGGGCCGTACGGTACCTCAAAAGAGTACACAACGAAAACGAATGGTGCGTGATCTAATATATGCAAAATTATGCATAGACGCATGCCCATCAGTGTTATCAAAACAGAAGCAAAGCTGTAATACTCGAGTTGCATGAATGGCTGAGTAAAGTGTCCACCGACCAACCCACCAACCAACCACGGATCCTCTATCCGTGCGCCAAGCAACATAAGCAGCTCAAGCCCAAGGCGTGTTTCACACAGCCGTGGGAAAAAAACCGTTGTTCATGCATTGCTCCATGGCAATTGCCATGCTAGCTCGATACACGAATGAATGAATTGTGAATTCAAAGTAGACATCCATGTATTGCAATGTGTTTTAGTCACTGATCTCTATATAAAGACTGGATAGCGGATATGCATACAACATTCACACAGTAGACTTTGCATATTGACCAATTCGCCCCTGGTCTCACGAAGATGGCCGCGTATAATACGAACGTTCTACGCGTAAATACGCGCGCGTTGTATCAACAGTTGACGCGCATTTTGGTCACGTACACATATTATGATGTTCTAAAAGGGACACATTTCCGTAGTGATTATTATTTCAAAAACGCCGAAAAAGTGATTTGGGGCATTATAAAAGTAACCACTACGTTAGAAAAATTGTAGTAAACCTTGGTCAGTTGGTCAGTGGTGGTGGCCAAAATATAAGTCAAGTGAGCCGCGACGTTACAAAAGAAATCAAGCTGTCTATAAAGACGGCAACTTGTCCTTTGTAGATCACCAGCCGGTCTCACCAATATGGCGTCAAATTCGTACATTGTGCGACTCTTTATTAGCTATCCAGTCTTTATATAGAGATCAGTGGTTTTAGTAGTATTGCAATAGTTTTGTGCGTGCTTGCCGTCTTCCACGTCCAATTTTGTTCAGGCCCTGTAGCTAAACCCACTGGCATCCCTGCATATTGGTTCCTTTAGAAATTTTGCTACATTTGCTAAAGCTTCCATGCGTTAAAAACTTGACCAAAATAAGAGATACAAGTTATAGCGCCCATTATCTGACTTATCTCCTAGAAGTTCTGGCACAGTGGTAAACTATTCTGTACATAAAACTTGTCAAAAAAATGGGGACGATGCAAATTAATGCACAAACTTAGAAGTTTTGGCACAATTGCATACAAATCTTTGCGTAAAAAGTTGTCCAAAAATCTTAATCACAATTTACAGTGTTGTCCTCTATCGGACTTCCTTTCACTTAGAAATTTTGGCACAACGGCAAAATATTCTGTGCATGAAACTTGTCAAAAAAAGGTGACTCAAATTAATGAGCCAACTTAGAAGTTTTGGAACAATTGCAAAAAAATCTTGCGTAAAACTTGTCCAAAAATTACAGCATCGTCCTCTATCGGACTTTCTTCCACTTAGAAATTTTTACGCAAATTTTTACACTTAGAAGTTTTGGCACAATTGCAAAAAAATCTTGCGCAAAACTTGTCCAAAATGTACAGCATCGTCCTCTATCGGACTTTCTTCCACTTAGAAATTTTGGCACAATTGCAAAATACATGTATTCTGTGCATAAAACTTGTTGGAGAAAAGCGGAAACAAAATAGCGCCCTCTATCTTCACTTAGCAGTTTTGATGCAATTGCGAAAAAATCCATGCGTAAAACATGTCCCCAAAAAATTGTACAAGTTAAAGCGCCCTCAATCTAACTTTAAAAAAAATTGACTCCAAATTTCTGGTGCAGTGTGTGTGTTCATAAGGTATAAATTGAGGGGGGGGGGGGGAAATTGGGGGGGGGGGGAATTGGGGGGGGGGGGGAAATCGGGGGGGGGGGGGGGGAAATCGGGGGGGGGGGGGGGATCGGGGGGGGGGGGGGGGGAGTGGGCGGGGGGGGAGTGGGCGGGGGGGAGGAGGCTGGCACATAAGGGGAGGAGACATACCCATGAATAAAGAGTACTAGAAACCATCATCTATTGGTATCTATTGGTACGTATTGTTATTTATTTGTTATTTATTGTCAAGTATTCCAGCCAAAAAAAAAGCAGCCCAACTACACACAGTCCCCCCCTCCCCGGTGCGCGCACGCGTGTTCCCCGCCCACAGACGCCAACAGGCCAGCAGTCGCCCGACTATCTATACATCAACTTGCGATCAGCCGTCGATGGGCAATGTGTACAAAAAGCGCCCCCAATCTTATCGTCCAAGTAAATCGCAGATGACCCAAGTGGACTTGCAACATGAGTAAGGATCCTCGAAAACTCTGAACGATCGGTTAGAGTCGTTCTACAAATGTACAGAAGTCACGTTTGGTTACCGTGGCAACCAACACTTCCAGAAACGGCAGATTTAAGCGAGACCCCCTCTGCATCCGTTCACAAATGTCCCGCCTTGCATTTCAAACGTTTTGAAGTCGCATCATGTTTTCTGTATCCAGCCAAATGTAAGTTTTAATGGTTTTCATTTTGTTAATTGCATTTGCAATAATTTAGTACATGTCGAAGGATAAGACCAATTGTTCTGACGTCTTTTACACCGATAACTTCCAAACTGTAACTCCTAAATCTCTCTACAAGTTGTTGCATCCAATGTTTAGCATAACAGTTTATTTACAGTGTCAAACTCTCCTAAAACTTGTTCTGTTTTAATATTCGCAAATAAATGCGAAAAGTTAGAGTACATTTTCTTTGCAAAATTTAGTGGATTTCTTTTGGCCGTGAGCTCACAATTAGTTAACGGCGATATTTTCTTACGAGAAACAAGTTAGGATACTTCTGAAATATCTGGCTTTTTACGTCTTTAGTAAATAAGACGTTTTCACTGAAAATGGTGCAAGTTGGTAAGGAAATAAATGGTCCAGTAGCACTTGTATGGTTGCATGATTTTCCTTTTTAAATTTAGAAGTCGAAAAGTTAAGTTCATCTAGAGAAATTTGTCCGAAAGAAATTTAGACAATTTGTTTTGATTAATTTTCCAGAAGGTTTATAAAAGTGCATTTGTACATGTACAGATGTACATTGGTTAAGGCTTTTATACAATGTTTCAACAGTTTCAACGATTTCCAGAACATATAATCCAAATTCAAAAGTTTGCAACCCTGATTTTGAGACCTTTCTTAATTTACCACAATTTTAATTTTGGAGGATTCTTTTCGTATTACGAAAGGACTTATTTTGTTCCTATGTGCCATCATCAAATCTTTCTGAAAATATGCCAACACTGATGCGATGCAGCTAGTAACGTGACGCATTATTGAATACGTTCGCAGAAACATACAAGGAATGCAGTATAGCGGTACATGTAGGTGATATAATAACACCTATGTACATGTACGCTGTCATGTTGGTTTTAGAAGCCACAACAATTTTATTCAGTCCAGTTCTCTCACTGAATTCAAATACAAGGAAACATTTTCTTTTTCCTTTTTTCCTTCAAACGTCCTGTGCCCATCTGATGAACCATACTGCTCAGTGACTCAGTGGACGATGTGGTAGCAATCTGCCTGTCAGCATCCACAGAAACTGTGACCATCCAATGCTGCACGGGTCAGCCTGTCCCCTACTCCGTGATACAGTTTAATTGAAGTTTTCATCAATTCATGCACTGTACAATTCATGGTCGTACATCCTCAATGTTACTCCCTAAACCCAACGATTCTCATGGCATTAGTAGAGTAGGCTTGTCTGCATAAGGCAGGTAATGTACATGCTCCTACGCTAACCTAAGCAGGCCCTGGGAAAATCCTACAAACATTTCTGGTTATTTTTGGACGAGTTTGGAATAAACTAAGGCTGTGACTTTCAAAGATTTGAACACCATGATTAAGAATAGAGTTTAAATCTGAACCGACACTTGTTTTTACTAAGATTCCTTGCTTTATTGCTGCACCATAAAAATTTGATATTCGTCTGATCATCGGCTTTTAAAAGGGGTCAGATAATTGTTTTGCGTTTGTCAGTGCAGTGAAAATGACTAAACAACTGGCCCCTCAAAATTTCCCATCTTGTTTTATAAGCAATACGCTTCAACGGTGATTAGTGTTCCATTTATAAATGCCGAGAGCACGCAGAATGTTAAACACGCAATATTGATAATTTTCCTTTCTACATAATAAATGGTCATGATATTTTGTTTAAACGTGAAACTTAGTCACAGCCTTAGAACTACCACATTGTCTTTCAAGCATTTTCTGCATTTACAAAAAAAACCCAGTATTTTATTTTTGATATTCAACAGATGCACAGCTCCTTTTATGTAATGCAAATCTGCTTAAGAAATCAACCGCTGGCGACTGTCAATCGGACAAAATAGCTTAGACTTTGCAATGATCTGCATTGCAACTAGGCAGTTCGTGTAGCTGTTTATAAAATGAAATAGACTACTTTTGCACTCAGAAACTCTGAGTTTGCGTGAACTGCTTGTAATACACACCAACATGACATGTACATGTACGTGTACATGTACATGTAAACGTACATGTACATGTACATATATCTGTACACGTACATGCATATCATGTTCATGTAAGCCATGTAAGGCAAATTTTTGTTTGATTAGGTTGGCTATAACTTGTTTTCTACATGTACATGTACATGTACATGCACATGCACATGTACATGTCATTATGCAAACTACCACAAATACATGTAAATATGTATTTGGTTTTCCCAGGGCCTGCTTCTGTGATCAAACCTCAATGAACTTTGACCTTTACCGCTGACACTTTAAAACTGGAATTCACATTTGACAGAATACGCCAACTGCTTGTAGCATGTGCCTCTTACTAATACATGTAACGTAATGTTACCACCTTCAGATTAAATCTTCCCTCACTTGAGTAAGCCTGAAGACAAAATTCATTTAAATTTCAACAGAGTGTAGAATGGCCAACATTCACTAGTTGACACATAGATCGTCTGCTAAACACCAAGTAGATTTCTGCACATTTCCTAGTTCCTAGCTATCGTCAACTGATCTACACTAGGAGTGTAACACTTAGCATAAATGACAATTGTTTAAAATATGCATCATTTTGAAGAAATGAATCTTCAGCGTCCAACCAAATTACTAGTTATGGTAAGATTTGTCATGAGTGTATCTTACAAAAATGTAAGATACTCTGGGAATTATACTACTAAAATAGCAGCCTATTTCAATTCTATGAAATCTAAGAAGGGGAGACCACTAGGTATATTTGAATGCATACCTGATAATGCCCGACGCTCATGTACAGACGCTATGAGTCTGTGCACATTCAGTACCAAATTATTAGAGCGTATTTCGTGCCTACATGCACGAACCTGTTTGCGCATTTAACGTTTGAGCGTGATGGTCTTCAGTCTGAGGCAATACCCATTCAATGTCATCTAAGTTTTTTCCTTGCTTTTTCTTGTTTTTTAATTTCTATAAAAATGGACCCGTGAGTCACCCGATCGAGGCATACAAAAAGTAAAGTGAATTTCTGGCATGCAAACACGTTTACACAAAATTGTTCGCAGGAAAGGTTGTTTCCAAATAACGAGGGAGAAAGTGTTGACTCTTGTTTCAATCAAGAGAGAAAGTGTTGACGAAGTTTGTTTCAACATTCAAGAAATTATTTTTCAATATCTGCCAAAGAAAATGATAACTCTGGATAGATTGATTCAAGATTTTTTATTCCCTGCAGATTTGGGATTTCAATTGACGGCAGGTTTTTGTATCTGGCACTTCTCAAGTTCAACTTTTTTCCGTGATAAGTTGGTGAATGATCAAGAGTGGCAACGAGAGGCAACTGTGTTAAGAGTCACAGATCCAGGATCTGCTTCCACAATTTAGACCTTGCAGCAACTTTGTGCAGTCAGTAATTTTTCCTCATCATGCAAGCCACTGGGTTGGATTTTCCTCCCTCCAAGGGGTGGAGTCTACCCAATTTTGGAGGGTATATCAAAAAGGAGGTATGCCTTTGGAAGTTTTTTAAAGCAGGAAACCATTCACATGAACTTGTGCCTTTGTAACGATCACACAAGAGGAAATGCTTAACTGCAAGCTCAGAAAGTTTTGTCTTTCTGTGAAATTTTTGGGATGCTTTACAAATCCTGCGATTAATTTGAACCTCAATTTTGCTTTTATTGACCAAATTCTGCTAATTAATGCCTTGATCAAAGCCCTAATTTCCCACTCCAGATTTTCCAATTTTGAAAATTCAAACTGGAGTTTGAATCAACAGTCAGTGGTGTAGCTCATTCTGTATTCGGGGAGAGGGGAAGGGGCTTACTTTCGCTGAAATTTCTTGCCGGCCCAATCAATTTTAAGGTCAGGCTACAAGCAACATGGCAATTTTTTTTTTCATTGCAAGAGTTTTTTTGGCCTTAACATATATAGCCCCATGTAGGACAGTTCTTGCCGACCTGAACTTTCTCTGGAGACAATTTTCAAGAGAGAATATGACTGACTCATGAATTTGTCAGATATTTAATTTTGACTGCTTCACTTCGCTCTTTTGAGCTTTTTCACTCTTGTCTTTGTTCACAATTCTCACATTTGAGAGCTTTTCACTCTTTGGAGAGCTTAAATTATCAAGAAAGGTCAAAATCCTCACTTTTGCTTTAAAAGTTTATTGTTATTTTAAATGCCTGAATCAGGGGAATAGCTGACGAACGGAAACTATTGTCACTGCTTGTTTTGGCAGTTTTACATCAAGCTTTTCAGTCAATCGCTATTTTCATGCTCGCTTTTTACATAAAAAAGTTGGTTGTCCATGAAAAACATAAAGTATCTTCGCTGAGTGGATTAACATTCGAAAGTTATTTCAGCAACCCCTCCCCTCTCCCCGAGTTTGCTACGCCACTGCGGTATTGCCTCAGACTGAAGACCATCTGCACATTACTGCCTAGTTAACATACAGACTACAGCCCTACTCCTAGCCATGAGATACACACTAGGGTTTAACAAGTCAGAGGATTGTACAACCATATCAACATCAGTGCATGAATTGACACTACAAACTTCAATTAAACTTACCACGGAGCTGAGTTTGCGGGACGGCCCCCCCGTGCCTGATGCCACAGCTTCTGTGTAGGACGCTGACAGGCAGACTGCTTGACCAAATTTTATCCAGACCATTCACCCAGTCGTAGAGGGGCACACTATGTTCCTGATTTCCCCGTTTTGCTTTTGCTGTTTCCTTTTCTTGGGGAAGTTTTATGTCAATGCTTTGAGGTGATCAGCTATTTGGACATGCGACAACGGCAAATTGGAACTGAATTTTTTTCTGCATTTTCTAAATTGCATTTTGCTCAAACAAAATTAGGTGACTGTAACACACCTTGGGCTTACATTACATGAGTTTTCCAAGCATACAACGTCACCCTTTTTAGAACGAGTAACTCATTCGATATCTGGAATGTTTTTTCCAGTTTTGTCATTTCTGTCGCAACTTGTAAATTGCTGGTTTTCCTCCCCATTTTTTTTACTGTTGTTTTGCAAGTAGGGACAATTTCAGGACAACGTTGTGCCCCCTCGATCCATTTGAGTGAATGGCCTGGATGCATCGTCCACTGAGAAATCTAACAGCATGGTTCTCATTTGTTAAGCACATCAACATTCTTCAAATGCAAATTAGAAAGTTTGGCTTCCTTCTTTTTCCATTTTAGTTCTTTCTCCTGATTTCTGCTTCTTTTCTCTATTTTCTTTTTGCTTGTTTTTGAAATGATGATGGCAGATTGGTAGGACTATTGATCTATACAACTGAACAGTTGATCAATGTGGTCAGGGATTTACGAAAATTTGATTTCTTTTCGGAAAATAAATGGCTAAATTTTTCTTAGCCTTTTGCTTGTTTTGTATTTTATAAAATGCCTTGAGAATTTTCTCAAATGGCATTGATCAGTTTAGAGTTCTTTTGCCTCCAAATCAGGGGATTTTTTTTTCAACAAGTTTCATGAAACTTTAGTTCATGGGTTTTTCTAGTTTTTAATCGCTATTCGAAATTCCTTGTAAAATGCATGATTTTTTTTTCACAATGTGAATGCTTGGCTATTACTGATCTTATTAAAAGGTTTTTTATACATGTGCTACCAAAACCCCAAGATTTTGTTTGTCTTCAGATTAAGTTTTTTTAAGGTGAAGTTTACACCATGTTTGTTTATTCCTTTGATTCACAGACGTAATGTCTCCTTTTTGGCTACACTTTGGCTCACAACCACATTTAAAATTGTTTTTCGTTTTCCAACCTGAACGGTACATTTTGTTATGAGTTTTGACACATTCATCGATCCATTAGCAGAGAGATTTTAGAGTTACACCAAGGAAGTTATCGATATAAATGGCATCAATACAATCGGTCCTAAACTCCAACAACTTTGAAAAATATCCAAGATTGTCAAATATCCAATAGTTACAATGAGTAACTGATTGGCAAATTCCATTTGTGTGGATACATAAAAACATGACGTACTGCAAAAGCAGAAATGCAAAGCGGGCGATTTGAGAACAGATGCAAAAAGGGTTCTCCTTGGTCTGCCAACACTGGAGAGGTGCTCGTGAACATCTGTCATTGTAGAACCGACTAAGAACCGATCGTAAGAAGTTTTCAGGATCCTTACCATGTTGCAGTCCGCTGAGGCATCCACGATCCACCCAGACGATAAGATCAGGGCCGTCTTTCTGCACACATCACCCACCGAACAGCCGATGCACAAGTCGATGCAGATAGCGGGCGACCACCAACCTGTCAGCGCCTGCGGGCGGGGAACACACGTGCACGCACCGGGGAGGGGGGGCTGTGTGCAGCTGGGCTGCTCCAAACATTTACATTTTTGAGAGAGTGCCTGGTGGTGAAACGTAAAAAATTAACAAAGTTATTCACATTGGTTTTGTTTTGTAAAATTAAGATGTAACCTGCAACCTTTAACAACGGATTTAGAACGGATTTCAGATTTTTTGCGCTTGCATTTTTTTGGGTTCCATATTTAAAATATTGGTTTTTTCTTTCTGTAAATTGCATATAGTACTTTCAAAGTGCCAGTCCATTAGATGTCCCACTGTGTTCAAATTTCAGTTGATTCAGAAATTAGAGTTGGTGTATTTGAAAGAATTTAGAGCAAATGGTTTGTCGTGTTTTGAGAAAAAAAAAGATGAATAGTTTAAATGGAATTCTTGGCAGTTTTTCCTGATCCGTGGGTTGCAGGTCACATTGAATTTAAAATTGTATAACCAGCACCGTGTCAGAATTACTGAAGTTTTGATATTGCGGCTTAAAAGTAGCAATTTTTCAGCAATTTTGGTCAGGATACATTTGTTTTCTGATGGCATTTTGGAATTTTCACCAAATTATTTCAGAGCTGTGTGATTTCATCACATGTAAACAGGCATTTGCGTTTTCAATGCTACTATTATAAAAATATTGTTAAAAATTGGCAGAAATTCAGAATCAAGAAATTTAGCTTTTCACATAAAAAATCTAAAAAAACGTCACACAAAAATGAAAGTTTGGTAAATTATGGCAGTGCTGGTTATACTCGAAATGTCAGGTGCAAGACAAGTTTAAAAACATAATTTTATCTAATCAAAAAAAAGGAATAATAAAAGTTCACTTTTTAAATATTAAGTTTGCAGACTCTTGAGTTTAGAAGTGGCTAAGAATGCACGATATCTTCACGTAAAATGGATTGAAAATAGTGAAATTATTGCACTAAGCACTGTAGATGGTCCCCACTATGTAGAAGTTTATCAGGCTATGACTGATCCAATGAAAAGCTGTACAATTTGTAATTCGACAAAATTCCTGAAAGGAGTGTTTGAACTGTTTTCAAAAACCCTGAACGTCTTAAGGGCTCTTTGGGGGTCAAGGACCAAACATACTACAGGTTACTACTCAGTACTATTTTGTAGCTTTAGGTGAGGTTAAGGACAAAAAAATCATTGTCATTATCTTATCTTGCACCTGACCAATTCACACTTACAAATGTACCTCTCAGGCAGTTATTATCTTATAAAACGTAGATTTAAAATACAGAAATATTAGTTTTTCTCATGGGAACCAGCCCTTACACACCAGGTACATTGCGCCTCTTTGTCAAGTACTGTAGAAAAAGTTAAAAATCTAACTCATAAAACAATTGTCTATCGTTGATTCTTATAATATCATTGCTTCACTTTGGACTGCTACGCTATGGCGCCTTGAAAGGATTTGGTTAAAATTGACAGAGTTTACCCCTTTTCGGGTTAGCATTTTTCTGTCATTTTTCTGTCTTTCAGTTTCAGAACTTTTAAGTCTGAAGTAGACATGATATTGCGAAGGGCTGGTTACAAGTTAATTTTTTTTAAGGATTTGGATCAAATGGTCCCCCGTCGAAGGATTTTTCCACTTTCAGCCACATTTAGAATTCTCTCAAACTAAGAGTCCTTTTCTGCAGACTTAAAGTCCTTGCATCACAGTTTGCAAATAGAGAAAATATGCCACAAATTGTTTTTTCAACATGTCCCATGTGGCAGATTGAGTTGAGTTCAAAGCTTGTAGCTTCCTTGCAACGTTGTGTTGTAGCACATTTCAACCAGATGAGGTGATGAGTTGTAAAGGTTGTAGCTTTTTTGCAACGTAACAATCGTCAACCAGATGAGGGGATGACAATCCTAAATGTTGTCTCAAAAAGACTGAGATGGTTTGATTGACAGCTTGTCACATGTTTGCGACACGTAGCAATCCTCTGCGTTGTAGCACATTCCAACCAGATGAGGTGATCAGTTGTAAATGTCATAGCTCCTTTGCAACGTAACAATCCTCTACATTGTAGCATATTCACAACCTGTGATGCTGATCTTCCAACATTTGAAGATGACTGAGAAGTTCTGCTGGAAGCATGTCAAATTTTTTCAAAGTATCAAAATGTAGCAATCCTCTGCGTTGTAAAACATTCCAAGCAGATTGAGATGTTGAGTTCAAAACTTGTAGCTCCTTTGCAATGTAAGAATCTTCTGCGTCATAGCACACTCGAAACAGATGAGACTGATGAGTTGTAAAGGTTGCAGCTCCTTTGTGACGTAGCAATCCTCTGCATTGTAGCACACTCCAACCAGATGAGACGGATGAGTTGTAAAGGTTGTTGCTCCTTTGCAACGTAAAAATCCTCTACGTTGTAGCATATTTACAATCTGCGATGATGATGATCTTCCAAAAAATTGAAGTCATGTGAACAGTGGCAAGAAAAATCACACAAATCTCCTGGTTGACTATTCGCTAGTTGCCTGTTCCTCCTCCTTGTCCAATTTGGTTGAACTGTCTGAATCTTTGGTTGAAACTTTTGCCAGGGTTCCCGCGATGATCCCGGCAAAGATGACTGCACCCAGTCTGTTGTTGGAGCGGAATTTGGTCCAGCAGTCTTGGGGATTGTGGATGTCCACCGTCCAGACCTGTGGGTGAATAAGAAAACTGTCACTAAAGTACAGAGATTCCTAAAACAGTGTTAAAGTAAAGTCCATCACAAGTCAGGTCCAATCCAGTTTTTGAATGAACTACGACAAAGGCATTCTTTCGTTAGAACTCATCCGCTGTGGCCTGTGACTGGACTTATTGTGATGGGCTCATCCACAACACTGCCTCCAAACAGTAATTATCAAATAAACAAAATTATTCCTTGCCCTTAACAGACCCCTCTCATAGACAGCCATCTTCGAAGGAAAATGAAAACTACATGTTTAACGCAATCAGGTGCATGTGCACGCAGGGTGCAAAATGTTCCAAACATGTTGCTCAATTTTTTTTCAAAATATGGTGCAGCCGAAGCGCGTCACTAAAATTTGATGCCCAACATGCCGCTGGCACGTGACAATCTGTAGTAAGTAACATCATTTGAGAGAAACCTATTAGAGATCCTTCACAGCCAACCACTCAGTTTTGGGAGGATGTTTGCCTCTTCAAAGATTAAGTTTAATGAAATTGCCATAATTGATGCCATAATGGGGATATTACACTGTGGCAGATTTGAGTGGGTTCAGGGAGATTTCTGAGAACAGTATCGTGGGAAGGTTTCTGACAAACTACCCTGGGAGAATAGCTAGAGAAGCTACGGTTGAAAGAACAAACCAAGACTGGAACATTCTGTAAAAAACATTTGCACCTTGAGAAAGTAACAACAGTTATTGGTTGCAGATTTACGTATCTTGACATTAGGCCCCAAACCCTCTTAAGCATATTCCTAAAAAAATTTGTCCTAAGAATGTTGTGTCCTTGGGCAAGCCACTTCATCTCCACTTGCCTCTCTCCACCCAGGAGTATAAATGGGTACCGGCATTAGCTGGGGAGTAACCTGCGATGGACTAGCATCCCATCCAGATGGAGTAGCAATATTCTCAGTCGTTTCATGCTACTGAAACCGGAGATAAACGCCGGCCTGATGGGCCACATTGGCTCGTGACAGACTTGACTACTTTTACTAAGAACAAACGCCGGCCTGATGGGCCACATTTGCTCGTGACAGACGTTACTACTTTTACTAAGAATTTTTGTGAATCCTCCAAAAAGGGAACAATTAATTCATCAAAGGAAATACATGGGCCAAAACAAACCAATCAAGCAACCAACAGACAAACCAAAGTCAAGCTTTAAGCTTACCTGGTTGCTAATATGAGCAGCCGTCAGTGCCACAGTGAGGTAGTATGCCACACTCTGCTCAGCCATAGCACCAACGACCATCAGACCAGACACCATAGCTGCACCAAAGCCTGTCAACCAATACTTGGTGTTGTCTCCCATCAGGATGGAGGTGGAGCCCAGGCCGAGGGCCATGTCGTACTTCTTGTCCTGCGCATTGAGAGTAAAGGAGGAGATACGAAGTGACTATTGGCTGTGTGGATGCATGGTAGAGGGCCATTTAAAAGGGACAAACAATTGTGGGCACTTTTGATGATGCACAGAACCTGGGCTCAATTTTATTTCTGTGTTAATCAGTCTATACAGGGTGAGTAAAAAAAAAACGAACCCAAATGTTGGGACCATTGTTTAAGTGAAGTTCTGCATGTAGCACTTTCAAATCTAGGATATGAAAGCCCAACTCTTAAGCATTCTTTCTGCAAAACGGAAAAAAAAAATCACATAGGGATGTGTGTGAACTGTTTTTGTTTTGCTGAAAGAATGCTCACCTTTTTTGTGATCTGTGGACAGAGCTTTAAAACGGTGATTGTGTTTGAAATTCCCTAACTTGAAAAGTACATGAGTGATTTGAATGATTCTTGTACTAAAAGAATTATGAATCGGGCTTTCATATCCTAGATTTTGAAAGCGCTACTGGATAATGTATGCCACATCAACGCACACAAAGAATTAAAACTGGTTTATTTAGCTGGAGTTGAACACATTTTACATAGATGTGTTTTACACATAACATGGACCACTCAAGAGGATGTCCTTGTCACTTCAGCCTGTTGATATAAATGTGCTTTCTAGAAGTGATCATTGGTCAAGCCTTGGAGTACAATACAAATGAGTGATTGCCATCCACATTTTTTAAGCTAATGACCATTACCCTTTTTGAGATTAGGTGAACACAATAAGAGTACACTATTTGGAGTGGTTCAACTCTTTTGTACAGTGAAATCTCGATAGGTCAAAACCTGTTAACTCAAAAACCCTTCTAACTCAAAGCAAAAATCTTGATAAGTCAAAACCCTTCTAACTCAAAGCAAAAAGTTATTCCTGTCAATTGTTGTTGAGTAGAAATTCCATTGGATAACTCAAAACTCTGCTTAACTCAAAATTTGACTTATAGAGATTCCACTATATTTTTCCAAAATAAAAATATGCAACTAAAAATGCAACAAAAATTGTCTATCAATCTATGCATGATGATTGACATGATTAAGTTGGATATGTTGATTGGGGTCTTTAGTCACTTTCTAACATGTCTTGATAAGTTCACTTTGGATTGCTATCATGTTTTTTAATGCCTTCAAATGCAAGGACAACTCTTTCCAATGAATTTAGCCTCCAACATCCTCCTTCCGAAATTCAATATTAAGTAACACCAGATTAAATGGTAAAAATAGTTTGCTTATAACTTACCTGATGTCCATAAATGGTATCATAGATAACAGTCCAGGCAATACACGACACGTACAGCGGCAGAACAATACTCCAGTCACATGACCCATGGACGGCCGAGTAGCCAATCAGAGCACTGAAGTTGGTCGTCACACCTGCAAGCAGAATAATCACGGTATTGAATTCTGATCAAATCAAGGTATCTTTTACTTGACAATGGCCATAATAAAATGCTCAAAGGTAATGGTAAAAATAAAAATGCGAGTGCACAATAAGCTCTGGCCGTCTTGCATGAAATCTATCAAAATGATCCCTGCCAGAGCTGAAAAATGTGACGCCCAAAAATGCGATGCCAGGCTCCTTCCCGCACCAGTGCCAAGAATTAACCGTGTGCTTCAGGTACATGTACCATCCACACAGGCACAAACGATTTCACAGTGCAACGGACGGTAACGTTGACCGGAGGTTGTGCATACAAACCCGGGCCGCCGTCCCACGTGAAAATCATGCTGCGCTATATACCACGAGACTATAACGTTACTGCACATATTTAGCGTCCATTTATTTACAAAATTTTCATAAACATCATTCCGAATTGTTACAAAGAATTTTTGTTCAGTATGAAATTTATTTTGTTTGCTTTTTGTTTGAAAATTTCAATTTGGTAGTTATATTTTATGGGAAACTTAGTGGGCTTATGTTGGTAAATTTTCGGGGACAGACAAATGCAAAATAGACACGCATGCGCATCGATGGAAACAAAGCCGGTGTTACGAAAACTTTCGGCAAGAGTGCATTTTATGACCAACGCATGGCATTTGGTCAATTAGTCAATTATTTTTGGTCAAATATTTTTTGGTCAATTTTCGGGGACAGACGGACGGACGGACCGACCACCAAGTGACATGTTGAAGCTCCTGCCAGAGCTTAAAAACTTACCAAGAAAGATCTGTGGCCAGTTGGTAAACCTCTTCGCGAGTGGATATAGAACCATGGGTACAACGGCAAGGCATCCAAGAGTTATGCTGTTGAGAAAATGAAATGTGGAGACAAATATAACGATAAAAAATTATCCGGATAAAAGTGTGGTTTCAGAGTTGTAGGGAAAACACAACATACATTTATAAGATTTCTGGACCACCAAGGTGAATGAACACTAGAAACTCCACACAATTTATTCTTAATTTTCCATCCACTAGATCATTCCCCCAAACTAAGTCCCCGTTACGCTTCACAACGGCCAACTTTCATTGTGTGCTGACTGTTGCCCTATTTTATGACTCTAGCAACTAAGGAATTCCAGCACGAAATTCTGCTCATGTTTCTGTAAAGGTATAGGAGTTTTGTGATGCGTGTTTCACAAACATTTCAAAATTGCTTGCTAAACTGTGAAGTACATGTACGCTAACAGTATACAGTTGAATGATAATGAAACAAACACTGCCAGAACAAATATTCACCTTCCAAATTAATGTACATGTAAAGTTATTTTTGACATTAGCAGCTGACCAGCCCCTAAAACAAATAGCCTTTTGTGTTTGTAACAGTGACGTTCTACTGCAATAGCGAAGAAACTTTGCTTATTTAGTAGCCTGTATTTGCACTGCAACAACTGCTTCATAATAGCCTACCTGTATGGGTTTAGATTGAGCAGTATTCCCAGCGCCAGGCTAAGTTGACCTCCTAGGAACACCAGCGCCTGGCTGCGACTGATGGCACCTGATGCGATGGGCCTTGTGTGAGTCCGCTCAACCTGCAATCAATAAATCAACAAAGAAGGTGTTACAATAAGCCAGTTCTGTATTTCAACTTTGCATGCGCACAATGATATGGGTCACGGGTCATTCGGGATAATGGAAGGCGTATGAACGCGCACGGAGACGGGCGCACGACACTCGTGCGTTAATTACAACCAGAATATCATCACGTCGACAATTTTATCCCGAATGACCTTAGACTTGGACTACTTCACCGAGAGAGCGAACCAAATACTAGACGACGGTCAAATCAACCCTTGGGATTGCTTTGGTGTTTTAACTATTTCACACAGAAAACACTACCGTCAACCTAAATCCATACATTGACAGATTACACTGCATGCACATGGTTACACTTTAAACTTTCAAATTCACATTTTGCAATATAAAGTGTATCAGTTTTCTCATTATGGGACTAATTTAGTCAGCATACGTCTTGTGAAATTGTTTGCCAACAACATGTACCCCTAAAGTCCAGCAGCTGATTTCACAAAAAAGTGCGCAGCTTGCACCAAGTGTAGGACTTACGCAACAAATTTATTGCGCAGCTGCGCAATAAACTTACGATCGATTTCATGAAGCTTGGAGTAGCTGCGCAACGTTTTAAATGCTTTTAAACATCTTGGACGAGGATAATAACAGCGTTTCCACCAGCTGTTTGTGAATGATTGTGTTCGTTTACATGTATGTAATCGTCGTTGAAATACCTCCGCCCGCCATGATGAAATGAGTTTTTCTCAGATTTTCTTCGGAATCATGCAGCAATTCTCAAAATTTGTAAACACAAATGCATGTGCCTTAAACTAAATGCTTGTGTTAACCTCAAAAAGTTGCGCAATGTTTGGATTCATGACAATCACGATTTGCTAAATAAAAATGACATTTTCAGTAGCTTCGCCACAACTAACGCCAACTAAGACGATAGCGCAAGTTGGGCCATAATTTGTTGTGTAAGTCGCGGACTTACACAGTACAAAGCTTTTGTGACATGCGTCATAATTGAACTGTTGTGCAGCGACAAATGTTGCACAACTTACGCATTAAATTGTGGCGCAAGTGGAGTTGCGCCGTTGCGTAAACGTTCGTGAAATCGGATGCAGTGCAAAATGTCTACTCATGCATGTATAAACAGAGGAAAAAAGACTTGTCCTCAGTGAGGTGCTCTATGCAAGGGGTCTAACTGTAGCCTTCTATAGAATTCAACTGCGAAACAACAGTGCTCACATACATGTCCTCTCGGATTCAAAATTCACAAGAATTAAGGGCAACTTTGGTAAAGTCCACTCACGGCTTTGTCAAAGTCTCTGTCCCACATATCGTTGATGGTGCACGCAGCCCCACGGACCACCAGAGCAGCCAGGCCACACAGACCCAGCATGTACAGGCTGGGGAGATGACCTGGGTCTGCTGCTAGAGCGATGCCCCAAGCACACGGCCAGTAGACCAACCAGGTACCTGCAATAAAAGAAACACAAAGACACTGAGATACCTGCAACATCTGATTGTGATACATGTACCACTATTCCCTTTTAAACTAGTTCACGTCAGGAATATTCCTGAAGTTACTGGTCTCCATATCGGGATTATTTTACTCGACATCGATGCCAGGAGGGTTGAACCATCAACTGCAGGTATCAGACTCGTATTTCCAGCCGAACCCCCTTTGCTCTGACTTGCAGACTCGCTCGTGACGTGTGAACACGTCATTGGTTTTGAATTTTGTAAAATCGCTGCGTGTATGTACATGTCCTCTGATGCCAACTGGTTTAATAATCAAAATTTGCTCCTTTATCCCAATCCTTAATATGACTTCTGACGAGTAGTAGTCTACTTGTCAAAATATCACTGAGACCTGAAAAATTAAGACAGATTTTCTCCGCTCAACAATTTCACAAGAGCAAATCACTTTCATATGAAAAGAAAGTCCACAAATGCTCACCTGTTGGTCTGTCTAATCTCATCAATCTCAGGTAGGGCTGGACTCGGCTAGGAGTTGCATCCACCATGGAACTCATCAGGCTCATGTTGCGTCTAGTTGTCCGCGCATCACATCTTGAACTCTGCCCTTCCTGACGACACCCAAGAAGCAGTGTCTGCTGTCGATTAAGTTGGGAGTACCCTTGAAACAGTTGCAGTTCAGTTTGCAGTTTCCGATGAAGTAGGTTCCGAGTCCAACAGATATGTCCTCTGTAAGACGACGAATGTGCACACTGGCAGCGTCTGCTGGACAGTCTCTCTGAAAGTAAACCAGTTGATGCACGCGCAAGCGACAGTTGTTTGCCATAATTCCAGTCAGTCGACGGCAAGCTCGATTTGAAGCACTTGAAAGGCAGTGGGTGACGAGGTAGTGAAATGGAGTTCCATCTTCCAAACAGTTTGCTGGAAAGCATGGTTGCCTAGTTCTGTTTCCGGCTGCTGTGCTGATCATCTAAGGTGCCTAGTTCTGTTTCCGGCTGCTGTGCTGATCATCTGAGGTGCCTAGTTCTGTTTCCGGCTGCTGTGCTGATCATCTGAGGTGCCTAGTTCTGTTTCCAGCTGCTGTGCTGATCATCTGAGGTGCCTAGTTCTGTTTCCGGCTGCTGTGCTGATCATCTGAGGTGCCTAGTTCTGTTTCCGGCTGCTGTGCTGATCATCTGAGGTGCCTAGTTTTGTTTCCGGCTGCTGTGCTGATCATCTGAGGTGCCTAGTTCTGTTTCCGGCTGCTGTGCTGATCATCTGGGGTGCCTAGTTCTGTTTCTGGCTGCTGTGCTGATCATCTGAGGTGCCTAATTCTGTTTCCGGCTGCTGTGCTGATCATCTGAGGTGCCACGTTCTGTTTCCGGCTGCTGTGCTGATCATCTGAGGTGCCTAGTTCTGTTTCCAGCTGCTGTACTGATCATCTGAGGTGCCTAGTTCTGTTTCCGGCTGCTGTGCTGATCATCTGAGGTGCCTAGTTCTGTTTCCGGCTGCTGTGCTGATCATCTGAGGTGCCACGTTCTGTTTCCGGCTGCTGTGCTGATCATCTGAGGTGCCTAGTTCTGTTTCCAGCTGCTGTGCTGATCATCTGAGGTGCCTAGTTCTGTTCGTGCCTAGTTCTGTTTCCGGCTGCTGTGCTGATCATCTGAGGTGCCTAGTTCTGTTTCCGGCTGCTGTGCTGATCATCTGAGGTGCCTAGTTTTGTTTCCGGCTGCTGTGCTGATCATCTGAGGATGCAAAGAAAACAGGACGAAAACACTTTATAGGGCTTGTATTACTCATTTCACTAAATGATTTATTTGTCTAACAGTTACAAGAGCAAGTCTAGTAAAACTAGTCCCTTACCAGTTCAAGTCAGCACGCACTAAATTCTATTCAACTGATTCAGAACGGCTATTCATTGGCTATTCGCTGTTCATGCATCTACACAACTGACCTATCGCCGTTTGCGAGTTAGCCACGCCCCTAAGATAATGTATGGAGTTTAGGTACACTAGGTTTTGTTTGTCTCAGATTTTGCGCGTTCGACATCCATTTGTTTATCATGTAATTGGACAATAATTTCACAAGCTGCGCTGAAGCGATTCTAACGCGATTCAACCCTGATAGCTCAATTGGCTTGATTTTCCAATCAGTGGTGTTATGGGGTAATCATATACAACAGCACTGCCCGACTCTCTCCACCAGCCTAAAACCAATTTAAATCACAAATGATACTCAGTCAGTCGGTCAGTTCATCAGTCAGCTTGATATGTGATATAAAGAAGACCCTAGCCTACAGTACATTTCGTGATTGGCCCGTCTGACGCCGCCCGCAATTAAGACAGTGTCAATGGTCGGTTCCTAGACCAAAAGACTCTGATGTCACGCCAACAACACGCTTCGCGTGCGACGAGCATGTTAAAATGTTGAACTCAAACTGTAGCTTCAGTAAGGAAAGGGGTCTGTTTTCATCATTTTTGTGCATCATCGGGATCAATTCAACCCTTATACTTTTCAGCGAAATGAACGCGAGTATGTCAAGAAGTACTGGGCATAGTCTTGGGGTACAAATATACAGCGGCCGCTCCAAAACTCATTTCCATTCGCAGAGTATAATCGCGTTGATATGCCTATCTATGGGTCTTACGTGTAAGACCCATAGTTCTAGGGGTAGTAAACAGTGTTCTCCACCCACCCTGTAAAAATGCCATGCATTCTGAGGTGCCCGTCATGCTTCAAAAGTTGCCGCCATGCTTCAAAAGTTGACGCCATGCGTTATTAAAATATTTAAAAACAATAAAAAAGACCCTCCAGCATGTTCAGGGTATATTTTGGCCAGAAACTCTGCCAAAAGCTTTTTGACGGAGCACTGACATGACCATGACCGACCTTTAATTTTTAAAGTTAGAGAGCACTGGATAATGTGCGTTGAAGTTGAAACAGTACAATTGAAGTAGGCCTACATGATATAAATCTAGTACTACTACTACTAGCTAAACAGGATATAAACAGAAGAATCTTTTCTATCAGGGCTTATTCTTGACTTGGAAACGAGTTTGCAAAGAAAGTGGGACGAGAGGTTGCGCCCTTCACTTCATCACTACTCCTAGAACTATGAGGCTCCGCGTGAGCGGAGCCTCATAGATGTAGAAGCCCGCAAAATTGTCTGCAGCACAAAACACTAATAAAGTACAAAAACGTCCATCAAAATGCAGATATTTCACACAGAACCGCTGCACAGTTTGCCCCTATACTCCGTACTTTACCTCTTGACATACTCACGTATCTTGGGCACAACTAACATAGGTGGATTCTGTCGGTTTTTAGGCCAAAATGATGAAAAATATGCCCTTTCCGCACTGAGCCAACCGAACACTTGAAACGTGCACGCATATGATCGAGCGATGATTTTCGGTTCGCTCGGAGCGCGCCGCGGGGGGTACGGTACAGGCGAAATGATAGTATGTGCATGCGTACAAGTGCATGTACCGTACCCCCCGCGGCGCGCTCCGAGCGAACCGAAAATCATCGCTCGATCATATGCGTGCACGTTTCAAGTGTTCGGTTGGCTCAGTGCGGAAAGGGCATATTTTTCATCATTTTGGCCTAAAAACCGACAGAATCCACCTATGTTAGTTGTGCCCAAGATACGTGAGTATGTCAAGAGGTAAAGTACGGAGTATAGGTAGGGACTCCCAGCCAAACATTCAACTACCAGCCAGGGCATTGCACTGCGGTTGAAAACACAGAGCTGACTGAGTGCAACCATCTGGTTTTTGTTTGAACAAAATCGGCCCAGGGGTTCAAGAGTTCCAGTCAATAAAGGTGATTGTCTGGCTGACATTTTGTGTTGCCTAGCAACCAAAAGTGCCATAAATCACCTTAATCGTTTTTGCAGAAGTCGTTATTTGCAAACTGAGTTGAACTGAGAATTACAATTGTGGAAATCCGTTCACATATATGCATTGTTTTCGTTACAGGAGTTCCAAACCCCAGAAGAATCAGAAAGTCGATTTACAAAATTGTGAAGTCAGCCAGAAATCAGTGACGTAACCTTGCATAACTCAAGGTTCTGGATCCTGGGCCGCTTGGGAGTTATATAACATGACATAACAATGGACCATTTTCAAAAATTTGTATCCATAAAAGAATTGTGTTGATTTCCTTCATTTTTGAAACATTTGTATAAACCAGCCAACTCTTTCACCCTATCAATCTTGGGACTATCTGCCAGTGATGTCAAATTAATTGATTATTTTTAAAATATAACTTAAGACTTAACGAGAACATGGCACACTCCCTCCCAATATACCAAATATGCACTTTTGTAAAATGTTATGAATGCTTAAGTGTTTAAGAAGTAAAAGAAGGGTTAGCTAATGAAATAAACTAATTCAAAGTACACTTAATGTGAAAATTTTGAAATTAATTAGCATATTAATTAAGGTGTTAATTAGCGTAATGAAGAAATATTGACAATTTTTCATCTTGCTTCATACAAATTGCCCACATTTGTGTAGAACTAGAAGGGATTGAAATACAACTTTATGGAAGCCTTAGTAAAACTAAGTAATTTTTGTCAATGAATTAGCATATTAATTAGTTCTTAATTAAGAAATAATCAAACAAAATCATCTGAAAGTGTTCATTTTGTTTTACTTTGGGTTTCAAAAAATGACCAAGAAAACTGTGGAGATGAGAACCCCTTTAAAGCTTGAGCACACTGTAGACTACATGTAGTGACTATTGTCTTAGCCCTGAGGGTCAGCTCAGCTGTTTATAAGAAAACTTGAGAGGTGATGAATGACTCACCACAGGATTAGCCTTAGGCCAAGGGGTCAACAAAGCAAGCTGATAAGTGTCTCGTGTTATTGGAAGTAGTAGGGGCAAACTGTGCAGCGGTTCTGTGTGAAATGTCTGCATTTTGATGGACGTTTTTGTACTTTATTAGTGTTTTGTGCTGCAGACAATTTTGCGGGCTTCTACATCTATGAGGCTCCGCTCACGCGGAGCCTCATAGTTCTAGGAGTATTCATCATGTTCATCACGTCATCAGTTTTTGATAATTCACGCACACACAAAAGCAATGAATGTTCAATGGTTACGAACAAAATTCTTAAAAGTGATATACAAATCTCACCTTCAACAGTTGCTTGTCAATATTCGTGCACCTTTTGGATTGTACATGGTGTTATTTCGGAGTAAAATTGTTCGTTTTTCAGCTACCTTATTTTTGTCCAAATTTCAGCCATTTTGTTTTTTTATTCGAAAATTGCGCCCTCAATGTGAAAGTTGTGACGTCAGGGGCGTGGCCTAACACCTGTGTAATGGTGGGGGGATTCTGAATGTTATATTTCTTATTGTTTGCGCCATATCATCTTAAACTACAGATAGATATTATTTTAATAAGACTTCTTTTTACTATTTGTTCTATTTAAATTGGTTCTAGCTTCAAATAAGTGGGCGCAGGTTGGGGTAGGCTATACCCCCTCCCTCTGCCCCCTTCCCCTCCCCCGGCCCAATAAAATATTTCTGAACCCAAAATACAAACAATTAATTTGAAACAAAATTACTCACACTTCTCATAAAATTATATGTCCAGCAGTGTTCTTAAATCATCATGATACTAGGGTAATTATCCATCAGAAAAAGAAGTGTTTTACAAAAGTGTGGGGGGGGGGGTATGCAAAATAAGAATGATGTACACTTTGGAATTTTCTGGAAGTTTACTACTGTTTTGCTTTAATGAACAATTTTAGGAGCTATTTTATGACATATTTGTTACTATCCTTTTATTATAATTGCATGATTTCTTGGGATGCTTCCCATATATTCACCCTGAATGATATACTCTTTCTTTATTCGTTAGAGTTTCTCAGACTTTGAAAAAAAAAAGCCAAATTAAACTCACAGGGAAGTTTTTGACTTCTGACAAATATATTTATTTGGGAACAACACAAGAAAGTTTACCTCAGAGTTTTATAAAATTCGAATCGGTTCATATATCCCCTCTCTACATTTTGTTCCAATATATAAAAAGGTAGAACCATCATAATTTTCGTTATTTATAATCAACATGATGGATTGCAAAGGACAGAAAGTTTGTTTGGGGGATAAAATGATTCTATACCCTGTCAGAATAACTTTTAATTTGCTGACCCATACAAAATGTACTGCCCTTTTCAGAAAGCATTACTGCTGCACGATGAGCCCAGGATTTTTCTGCCCCCTCCTCGCCTTTAGTCCTAAGATTAACATTTGTGACACCTTTTGCAAGGTACACACAGACACATTATGTGTCCCTTACAACCCACAAATTGTAATGGACCAATCTGTTAAGCTTAAAGCCCCACCCATGATGTTTCCACCAATCACGGCCATGATGCAGTGACAAAGTCTGACACTGGGCACTAATTATGCATGGACGCTACATTGGACACTACATTATCGTCAACCAGGCCCCAAGAACCAGCCAAGCACATATTTATTCCCATTCATAAATACCTTTGGGTCAAAAAGTCAAAACAGGTAAAAATTACAAATTTCCAACAATTTTGCTCAACAATTTTACTTCAAGTTTTTTAAAATACCCCCACTAGCTATGTCACGGTATGTGCCTCTCATGAGTAGTAATAACAATCTCCTTATATGGAGACTGGCACGTGCATGGTGGGTACTGCCAGGCCCATCCCCAGCCCCGAGTATCAGGGGGGCCAGAGTACCAAAGAATACTAAGATACATTTGTATGGCTTTTGCTGTTGGGGGGGGGGGGGGTCAATTGTTCCCCAGTATCACGTGATATAGTCAGTCTCTTTGGTCGGGAGAATGCAAAGTTAAAACGTGAAAAGCATTGGATTACATTAGCGTTCCAGATTTTATTCAAATTTAACTCGCAAATGGCTTCTTCCCAAATGGTAGGATCTACAATAGTAATAGTAGTAACAAAACCTATTCACTGTGCTGGGGTCTGAGATAAGCTTGAATAAATTAGTAAGTTTTGAGGCAACTTTCGAAAGAGTCAACGTCACGTTGTGATCTTAGAAGCCCTATGAAGCTTCAAGCTTCCAGAGCATCTTTCAAGTCCAAAATGTGCAACCTCTGGGCACAGCTCCTTCGATCTCAACAAGCTGCTCTCTCAATCTTAGGTGGACTGTTCTTTTTTAAAAACTGGATGTCCAAATAACGTCAGCAGATGGCAGCAGAAATTATGAACGGGAAGTCCGACGACGTTGAAATAGTCTCCAGTGATTCCCTTGACTAGCGTCCCTCCTAGCTCTTGGATGCCATAACCACCAGCCTTGTCTCTGGACAAAAACAAAATATTAGAAAATTAATTAATCATTCCAAGTAGGTTTTATTGAAACAACTTTCCAGAAAATACAGGGCGAGTCAAAAAAAGCGGAACCCAAACCCCCAAAATTATATTTCATATTAAAAAAATATGTTTTCTTCTAAAAGTAGCTTTTGAAATTGGTTTTCCAGTCATTATTCTGTATGGTGCTAAATGTTTTTTTGATAAAATATATAATTTTGGGGGTTTGGGTTCTGCTTTTTTGACTCACCCTGTAGAAGATAACTAATCTAGCAAGCAACTTGGAAGTCAGCGTAAATGAGAAGATAAGCGTACACTTACAATGGTTCGCCTGTGTCAACGTACCCCTGGATGACTTCAGGCGAAAGGTCACCGAGCGTGACCTCTGTGGTCTCGTGAAACTGTGTCACATGGAATGGACCATTGGATTCATCTGCACTCCCTTCTGCAACAAATGGAGGGGAAAAAAAACATAACCTATTATAACATTTTATGAAGAACTATTTGATTTTACGATCAATGCGGTCGGACTGCAAGACTCAATTTATTATACAGGGTGAGTAAAAAAACCGAAACCCAAATGTTGGGACCATTGTTTTAGTGAAGTTCTGCATGTAGCACTTTCAAAATCTAGGATATGAAAGCCCAATTCATCAGTTTTCTTTTGGTACAAGAATCATTCAAATCACTCATGTATTACAAAAAAGGTGTGCATTCTTTCAGCAAAACGAAAACAATTCACACACATCCCTATGTGATTTGTTTTCATTTTGCTGAAATAACATTTACCTTTTTGTGATCCGTGGACAGAACTTTAAAACCTTGGTTGTCTTTAAAATTCCGTAACTTGATAAATTACATGAGTGATTTGAATTATTCTTCTACTAAAAGAAAGCTTATGAATTGGGCTTTCATATCCTAGATTTTGAAAGTGCTACGTGCAGAACTTCACGAAAAACAATGGTCCAGACATCTGGTTTTGTTTTTACTCATCCTGTATTTTCATATTGCATTAAAGGAATCTGTGCTTTTGTTTGTGAAAGTGAAAGTGATCGTTTTTGTTAATGAGTTTTGGAATGAATGCTGTCATGAATGCTGTCTGAGTTGAGTTTGTACTCACTCCTGCGAGTAATGAGCGCCATGCCTGTGTTGACGCAATGAGTCCTACCACTCAGATGACTCAGCATCTGAAATGCATCCTTTTTATCTTTTGGTTTCTCAAAGATTCGGTCTTCCAGCGTCTGTTGACGAGAAGAAAAAATATGTCATCCAGTGATCCAAATCAATGGATTTGGAGAGTTATTTGGAAAAAAAGAAAACATTACATGCCAAAGGTTAAAATAAATGTGAAACACTTTTGGTATAAACTTCTGGTTTAAAGGTAAATATACAACATTTGCTTTTGCTGTAATTTTCAGAAATAGATGAATTTTGGGGTTAGCATTTTATAGCAAATAATGCTACTCTGACCTGTTTAAAGTTTTGTGTTCATAGATGCTGGGCAAATCATTTGTCTTGTAGTCTGGTTCCCTGACCCTACTTCAGTCGAAATGGAGCAATTTATGGACGTCAGGGAATGTCAGGTCAGGGAACCAGACTAGCTGGCTTTCACCCGTTCACAGATGTGTAACCGATTGCAAACCAAATGTTGAGTAACTAAATTTGGTAAATTGGGGGCAGTGTTTTTAAAACGTCATTTTTTTCCAACGATGGTTGGCCAACCATCGTTGGAAATTGACACCAAAATGTCACCTTTTTTTTAAAATGACGGCACACCAGGTGCTAGGATTTCACAGGATGCTTGAGACTTTTATTTAATTCCAGTCAAGTAAGGTATTTCATAATAATTTGGTGAGTTTTTTTCTTTGATGTTTGCAAATAGTACCTTTAAAAAGATATTGAATAATAAGAAACAACAAATAAGAAAACGTGAACAAACATGTTCCAACTGGAACAAACTGGAACCAACTGAAGCCAACAAAATTGCACTTTCATCCCTGCTAGGTTAAACTTCATATGATACTGTTTCCTGTAATAATCCCAGATGATAATTCTTGATAATTTTCAAGTTTCCAGCAAGCATATATACAGCTTAAATACCAAAAGACCTCAAATAAATAATAAGTCTTATTTCAAGTCTATACTACACAAAAAAAACCCCAAGGTGTCTGCACTTACTACAACTGTGTCTGCAGCGATGACGAGATCAGGTTCATTTGCCTACAACAGAAAGAAAACCCAAAACGAATACTGCATTGAATATTAACTTTAAAAATTTGATACTTTTGTGGGACTCAGCTGTAATTTAAAAAAAAAATCTTTGCCGAGCAATTACCAAGGATGAAAAAGAAAATGTGAAAATTTGAAAGAGTGTATTTACAGGGACTTTATCTGGTAGTCACTGGAGTATCTTACCCCTTGAAGTCTCTGGGCGACTTCGATGGCTTTCCCTAGGGCAGTCTCTTTAGCATACTCTACAGCCGAATTGAACGATGACTTGTCTAAATTCTCCTCAAAAGTTGATGGAACGATGTCAAACTTAATTCCCTGTAGTCAAAGAAATAACTGACACTGAGACTAACGAATAAAAGAAAGTAGGATAGAACAGGCTGGTTCGAGCTGGTACAATTTTTATTCAAACAGGTTTCAGTGAAGCTTGTTCTGGTTGGTTAATGCAATGCGAATGATCTACTCTGATCCAAACCGGTTCAAACCAGAACAGGCTGCTTCAAGCTGGTTCAGGCATAATGCATGCTCAATGCTGATTGGTTCAAAGTTGGATAAGCTTCATTTGGTCAATATAGACTTGTTTATAAAAGGCTGGTGCAGCTTGTTTCAAACTTGTTCAAACTTCTTAAAGTAATTCCTCTAACCATGAACTGACACAGTGTTTTTCTTTTGGTGTTTGGGACAATTTAATCTGGGTTGGGCGAGCCAAAAGTTGTAACAAATAAAAACTACAACTTTCTTGTCTCTTGTTCTTGCATATTATTTGGGGAAGATGTTAAATTTGATACTAACAATGTTATTGAGGACGTCCTTGCGTCTAGGTGACCCACTTGCCAGAACAATCCTCATTGCAGACAACTCTGTCATTATTGGTTGCAACATGTTGGCTCACAGACTCTAGAAAAGAAAATTACAGGAAAAGAAATAAATGTCTAAACTAAGACAGTTTTAATTGTACAATGTATTTATTTGAAAATTTACCACTGACCAGCAACTTATAATGGGGGGGGGGGGGGGGATTGGCGATTTGGGTGAAGCATGGAGGAATAAGAACATTCCTCCATGGGTGAAGCATGTATCAAATTTGTGGCGAATCTTATTTGACCTCTAACCCCCCCCCTTGGGCTCCGCCTCCCCCAACTTATATTTAAGGGGGGGGGGGGAGGGAGGGGATTGACGATTTGGGTGAAGCATGTATCAAATTTGTGGCGAATCTTATTTGACCTCTAAACCCCCCCCCCCCCCTTGGGCTCCGCCTCCCCCAACTTATATTTAGGGGGGGGGGGAAGGGATTGACGATTTGGGTGAAGCATGTATCAAATTTGTGGCGAATCTTATTTGACCTCTAAACCCCCCCCCCTTGGGCTCCGCCTCCCCCAACTTATATTTAGGGGGGGAGGGGATTGACGATTTGGGTGAAGCACGTGTAAAATTTGTGGTAAATTTTAATAGACCTCTACCCCCCCCCATTGGGCTCCGCCTCCCCCTTTAGGCCCCCCCATCCCCCCCCCCCCCCCCCCCCCCCCCCCCCTCCCCCATGTAAAGGCTATGATCTCAGTATCTGCTCATTTGGGGGCAAGTACAAAATATTACAGGCGTCTGTCAGTACCTAACATACACACTCTTTTTCTTACATTTCAAGACTATAAACTAATGAAATCGAATATGATGGAAAATTTACTCACGTCGGGCATGGAGCATGTGATCGTGAGTGATTCAAGTTTACTACGTTTCTCGGGTATCGTACCCAGTGGTGTCGTACACAAAATGAACACGACGAATGGTACACAGATTGGCACCAGACTAGTATTCATCAGGTGCACCACCACAGATTTCGTCATGTTCGTAGTTTTCCGCATTGAACCACTATCATTTCTTTGTTTCTAACATAAAGAGTAGTTGAAGCGGACGACAATAAAGATCGGCGACACAGAAGAGTCCAAAGTGTTTCTTAATCTTATCAACGTAGTTGGTAAGTCATCATTTTAACCTTTGGTCTATTTTGGAGGTTCAACCATGGAGGAATAAGAACACATTCAACGATCCGTAGGACCGTACCTACGTACGTAGGTTTACGTGTTTATTGACATAATGACATTGACAACTTTTCATTGTATTTTATTTTCATTGCAATGAAACTGTCATTGAGACTCAGACTGAGAGAAAAAGCGTTGCAAAAGATATACTAGTAGAGTTTTCATCTTCGTACATGACAGTAAAATCGAGTAGTTTTAAAATGAAGGGGGAAAATTGGATCAATGTGGAAAATGAAGATTATATTTATAATTTCTATGAAACAATTTATTTAAATTCTATGAAACAATTGTTCCTTGCACAATGCTCAGTACTACATTTAACATTTTATTGAACTAACATTTCTTAACATGCTTAAGTCGGTCAATGACAATGACAAATTAAGAAGAGTTTTAGATAAAATCTTACCTTGTGTTGCAATTGACTGGTAAAGAAAATCCATCCTCGCGTAAGACCTCAATATCTTTTGGGGAAAATATCTTTTAACTTCAGCCAACTTTTTTTAAAATGTGAATTGAATTTTGTTATGTCAGAAATTGTGGCTCATCTGATGTGTACTTAAAAAAAATAAATATTGTCCTGTTTCTTCAGATCCTGAGAGTTGAATCCAGAGTGTCGTGCTGTCAAGATGCCTGTACTGTACGCCACCGTGGCCCGGGGCACCACCGTGCTGGTCAACTACGCGGCCTGTCAGGGCAACTTCACCGAAGTCACTGACCAGATCCTGCCCAAGGTCCCCCCAGAGAACACCAAGCTGACCTACTCCCACGATAACTATCTGTTCCATTACACCTCCGAGGACAAGATTGTCTACTTGTGCATCACAGATGATGTACGTAGGGGGCGGAGTCAATTTGAATAATTTAATATTCAATTATTCACATTTCTATGATTGCATATTTGAATATTTGATGTTAGTTGATGGATTTTGGGTCATATCATATCAAAAACAATTGTACTTAGATCTGATTTGCTTTTTGTTACACAACCTGATGTTCAGAAAAGTAATGTTCTTTCATATTAGATTTGTTTTGTTGGAGAGGCGCTTACCAAATATTTGTCGTTTATTGGTGACTTTCTTTCTTTGTTTCGACAGGAATTTGAAAGATCACGAGCCTTCATGTTTCTTAGAGAAATTAAAAGAAAGTAAGTGCATTATATTTGCCGTCGGATTGAACGTGCAATATTATGATAAAACAGATATAAATCTGTTTATCTCAATAGGTTTCTAAAAATGCAAAGTGCCCAAATATTTTCTTTTCATAGTTAAGATTTAATGAGAAAGCAAGTTAAGCAACTAAATTTTTCCAGTTGGGAAGCATGCAATAAAGTTTCATTCATTGTTTATTATAAAGTTGACATTTTATTTTCTCCACGAAAGTTGGGGACACTGTATTGTGCAAATTTATAAACAAAGGTCGCATTATATATCAGCCTATTTTCGTGCGCTCTTTCCCTGTGCATAGGTTTCAAACAACTTACGGAGCACGAGCCTACACGGCACTTCCGTTTGCGATGAACAGCGAGTTCTCCCCAATTCTAGCGAATGAAATGGTATGTACTCATCTGTTCATGTTTTGGACAATTGCCCTCCCAAAAAAATACCGTCTTAATTCCAGTGGGTATAATTTGAGGTAACTGGTTTTGATGCGGATTTTTTTCAGCGACACTATTCAGAGGAGACCCCCATTGATAGACTGGGCAGTGTACAGGCTGATGTGGACGACTTGAATCGCATAATGGTCAGAAATATCGGTAAGATGTCACTTTTTTGTTCATGAAGTCAAGTTTTTGCCCGAAGGAAGTAACTATTCCAACAATTTTTTCAAATCTTCAGCCAAGAATAAAACATTGTTTTGCATATTTTGTGTTTGGCAAAGTCAGCTAAACTATTGCGCACTTGACATCTGTGCAAAATGTTTATCTGGGTAAAGTGTCTAGCCTAAGGACAACACTCGGCAGTATTAGTAAACTTTGGCATTTTGAGAAACCCAATATTTCTAATTTCTTGTTGGTTTGAACTACACAGAATCACTTTCCAACAGAGGAGAAAGGTTGGAGCTTTTGATTGACAAAACAGAAAATCTGGAAACAACAGTAAGTACGACTTAAACATGTTTTTGGTTACATGTAGCTGCAAAAGAAAACTCAGTAAATATAATCAAGAATCTTGGTGACTTACAAAATCAGTCCAAAAGGTCACCCTTTCTAACGTTCTGATGTTTCAAATACAGCTACAACATTAACCCACTTATTCATTATTTTGTTCTTCTCGTCAGTAATTGGATTTTGTGGATTTCTTGCAGTCGCTGACTTTCAGGAAAAGCAGCAAAACGCTGGCACGATCCATGTGCATCAAGAACTGCAAACTAACAGTCATTCTGGTGGTTGTAATAACAGTAAGTCTACAGGTTTTTGTGTGACCTCATGTGAATGGTTGGCGTATCGGGACTTTCCTCGCCTTCCACCGCTGTGACCCGGGTTCGAATCCCGCCTGGGCCAATATGTGGATTGGGTTTTCAGTCCCTGCCTGATTCCGTGGGTTTTCCTCAGAATATTCCTCTGGGCTTTTCCTCTCACCACTATAATTTCTTCTGTCTCCTCTCTACAGGTTTCTTCAGGCTTGCGAGCTACAGTGCCTAGGGCACTTTTGAGGAATCTTTGTGGTTTCATTACCAAAAATAAAGAACAATAATAATAATCTTAAAGTGGGACGAGGTGAAGTTCCAGTCTTGCCTATAAGGCAGTAATTTTCCAATTTTTGTTGCAGTTTGGGAACCCCAGCTGTAGAAAAAAATTTAAAGAACTTATCAAATATTGAAATAATTTGTTTGTGTCTCTTTCTTTTTGCAGCTTATTATTTACTTCATCGTATCGGCTGCCTGTGGAGGACTAGCTTGGCCACATTGCGTCTGATAATCAAGAATGCACATCATTCTAATGCATCTCATTCGCATCTCATTAAATGCCGACTGCTTGAAGACAGTACTGGGAAAAAACCAAAACAGGCCACACCTTCTTATGAATAATGCATTATATTGAAGAAGCTTTCATATTGATGGACATGAACTACATGCGCCAAAAGGTGTTTTTCAAGATGTGTGTTTACACAGAAGTTTAGCAGTGACAACAAGATGCTTAGTGCTAAATATGCTAAGTGTTTCTCAAAAATAAATGCAGCTTAATAGACTACGAAAAATTGCTGAATTATTTGACAACATCTCAGTCACTTTGAATAAAGAAGAATGCGTCTTCAACCTGGGATGTAGAACCAGCGTGTTGGCGATACATGTGCCTTTGTTTTGAGGACACAAGACAAGGGAGAGCAGAGAGATTGGAACCACCGTCTCTTCAATCACAAATTGTGGATGCACCATCGCTGCACAAAAATCCAAATTTTACAAAACCTTGCTTTTGTCTGCAGCTTCGCCTTTTGGTTTTGTCTCTCTGACTTTGGAGAATGTGGCTCCGGATAGGTCCATTTTCTGCTGTAGGAAATACTAAATTCTGCAATGTGAGGTCAAGTGTGCAATCCTTAAGCTGCTGATCAAACTAAAGCTGGAAACAATGCCTGAGTTTCTAAAATGTCATTAGAAACATTTTAGGAACACATACTTCAATGGAGTTTGAGTGGGTGGTTTTCCTGGTCTTGCTGTAGCTAGCTGTACGTGAAATTTGGTCTCATCCAGATTAACACATTGCAGGAAGTGACAGTTTCAATTTCTGTACAGTTCCGTCTACACAACAGTAAAGGCGTGATGTATTAGTTTCCAATGTTGGTCATATCTATAAACTATTGTACATATTTGATTTTCTTAATCGAGCTCAAAGCATTCAACCAAGACGATGACACGGACAGTGGTTGGCATAACCAGTGTGTCATTCTTATATCGAATCCGAAAACCAAGCTACATGTTAAGCATAAATTTAAGTTGATCTTGAACAAACAATGAATTCTTCTTGTGTACAAAACAATTTGTGAGAATACAAAATAAAGTTCATACCTAACCACTAGGTAATAAATATTTACTGGGTGAAAAATGGTGGATTTGGTGATGTGAAAAATTGGTTTTGCACCAAAATTTTTCCAACTTGGCAAGGTGATGTCCAAGTGACTTGTGCAAAATGTCTATGAAATGGAAAGAAGTGAAAATGAATGTTGTTTGCATCATCTTGTACTCGCTGAACAAAACAAAAATCCCTCAAGTGTTTATATCCATCATAACTGTTCTGGAAAGGCAGAACTTCCTTTGAAGATGTGTGTAAATCAAGCTCGGTGCTGGATGATTTAAACATGTCCATTTTGTCGAGTCAACCCTCAAAATGGGTGCAAATGCAGTATAACATTCCATTTGTAGAAAATATAATACGTAAATTAAAAGTAACACATTTCATGGTAAATAAAAGGCAAATAAAGTGAAAAGGATTAGTCCAACTTAGTTTCCTTAAGGTGAAAGAAATTTCTAAAAATACCGGGGGATCTGATTGGTTTCAAAGTAATCTGTACACCAACTACATGGTTACTATACAATTAAGTACAATTTGTATACATCAGAATTGTGTTTTGTTTTTTTCAATGGCAATTTAAGTTAAGAACTTGTTGCCAATTTTTCAGTGTTGAATGTTTGAAAATCTGCAACTGATATATTTGGATGTTCATAAAAAAAGGGACTTTTTGTTTTAGAATTATTTTTCTTGTACACAGTGATAGAAACTTCTTACACAATGCAAGAGATTTACATGTATTTTATATCTTATTTATAGCCTTGTATAAACGGCTCACAATTTATATCCCAAAATATTATGGCCCTGAAAATTATGTAACTTCCTACTTCAATATACAGATTTACCAGCAGAAAGATTTGTCAGATGTGCTTGATCATAAGTGCAAAGCCATTAAATTTGGCACACATTTTGAGAAGACTCATTAAATGTTAAAAGCTGAGAATGTCGTTTTCTTCTACTTCAGATGTTTACAGTTTTTAGTTCTAATTGAAGAGGTTTTATTTGACCTTTGTACAGTATAAACTATGGTAATTGGTGCTTTTTCAGCCCAGAAAAATTTAAGTTATGAGACTAGAAATGTTTATTTTTCTATTCCTGCGTTAGTACAATTCTTTCAGTATGATATTGTATTAGCTTAAAATTGTAAATAAGATTTTATAATCCGTGAAACATTTTGCATCAATTGCTGAACAAGATATATAACATGGCTGCTACTCACATAAAGTGAAGAAAGTGTAGATTGAGCATTAATTTGTAATACTTTCTGTAGAGTTTGCGTCACTCTTCGAATGACCCGACTGCAAATTTGTTTGAAAAGAAACTTCGAGCAAGAATTACTCTCAGAAAGAAAATGTGTAAAACACAAAATGTATGTCCTGTCTATTTTACATTATATATTGTTTAAAGATGTTTCATTCGCACTACATGTAGTGACAAAAATATTGGGTTTTTTAATTTATGATTTTGGTTTTCTACGGGCTATATTGAAAGTGCATTCAATAAAAGTGCCTGACCCAAGTCATGCAGGTTGAGCTCAGATACAAATTGTTTTTTTTGGTCGTATTTGTTCTATAAACATTTCCAATTGAACAGATTTCCAAGTGAGCAAATTTGATTTCCACAAATTGGCATATCAAAACTCAGTTTTATTGGATCTGACGTAATCCGTCTTCAAATCTATATTACAGTATTCCGGCATGCAATGGCTCTCTTACAACGAAGATCGTACTGGTTAAAAACCTCGAACGATCCACAATAGGAAATTAACTATCAATGTTAATATCAAAATTAGCATGCTGAAAGAAATTGACCGACACAGGCCTTGAACCTGTAACCACTGAAATATCGCACTGGTGCCCTACCATAGGTGGTAGTTTGGTGGTGCAGTGTTCAAGGGACATTCCGGCCGGGAAAGTGCCCAACTGGGCTACAAACAGCGTTTGAAACGAAATGATATTGATTGGAAAATCATTTAAAAGGAATAAAGGAACTAATGTAATTAGTATATTTTTCTACACATAATGGGTACCTCCACTTGACAAGCTTGCTTTTTGGAGAAGCCCACCCCTTAATGTCATGTGCTCATTTAAATGATTGTCTCAACCGTTTCTGTTCAAAATGATTAAGTTGAAATAAATATGAACGAATGCATGAAAGGATATAAACGTCCACACAACCATCCTTTAAGAAGTGGGCGCTTTTGTGTTATTCTTGCGAGAACGAATTTTGGGGGTCAAAATTTTGACTCTCAAAAAATCAAGCAGTTGGGCGCTAGTCGTGAATCCTGCCGCACGTTTCACCAGTGCATCGCATTCTACAGGCGTGCGACAAACAATAATTTGTATCGGTGCTGTGTGTATTAATGCATTACATACACAATTAGTATCATACGTTGTTGAATGAACACAGCTGGAAAATGTTAACAAATGCCACAAAATGTCTGCTGCGTCCGATATCAAGTATTACGTTTTTTTGGGTCTTTTCTCGGGCACAGTAAGACATTAGGTTAGTTTCCTTTCAACCAGACTTTTGAAATAGGATAAGTAAACAATCCAAAACATACAATTGTTCGGGCATTTCAGGCCGCAATGCCCCTTTAAGTAGCAGAATCAAATCCAGGAAATCTCTTTTTAAGGGCAGGCACAGAAAAATGGCAGAAAAACCCTCTTTTATAAAGTATGCCTGTTAATTGCTGACCTTTAGGGAGCCATGCCTATTGCAACCTTCATAAATTCGTCTGCAGTTGGTTGCTTGATTAGTTTCCCGCTTCGTTCAAGCCTTACTAAGAGTGACCTCTAGAAAAAAAAGGACAAAAAAATTCAAGTTGGTGATGTCAGAAGTAAGGAGCAAGGATAGGGAGAAAGTTACAGTCTGCTGTGGAAAAAAATCCCGGCAAGATAATATAATAAACTAGAAGATACAAATATCTAATACAATTTATGAAAGGCAACAAATCTTTTAGGTTACTTAATCCAATTACCTAACTTTTTTATTTATTTACAGTTTGCTAAAAATTCTGAAGGAAAATTGTTCTCCACTTAGCGTACTCTACAAAAATACAAATTATGTTTTTGTTAATGCTAATAAACAAATGTTTTTGTTAATGTAATAATTAGTTACATTTTAATGAAAGCAATTTGCTTGCTAAAGCGATTAATTCATTAGTAATAAATAAGATATGGGTAGTTATCGCTTTGATTTACGTACTTTTGAAGTAAAACTGCCAGGCTAGAAATTTTTAATTTTCTTCCCATGAAACTAAAAAGCTACAGTGTTTAGACTACTCACCCTGCTTAGGAAATTCTAAATCGACCTCGTCATTAATGGCCAACTAAAGTACTCCATACCACTAAACATGGATGGATACAATTATTTTTAAGTACACAAAACCTCTTGATTGGTAAAATCCTTAAATTTAAGGTTAACTTGTTCTGAGGATTTCTGAGAAGTATATAGCACCATGTTTACTTTAAAAATACTTCCTTGTTTCGTTACAAAGCCAAACAAGCTGAATAAAAAAAAAAGCAATACTCCTTAAGCTTCATAAATAGGTCTCCTTGACATACTTCCTACAGTTTAGTTATTTAACATGCCCTATTATTACTTTTTTTATCAGTTCATCAAGGCAAATGTTCATGTATTTCAGCAGAGCTTATCAGTGTCTTTAACCAGTTAACGCCGGAGAACATGTAACCACGATCTGGCAATGTATATTCACAGGGGCGGGTGACGGATTAAGCTTTGCCTGAGTTTCTGGCGGTGGACGTCTATACACGTCAGTGGTTCCCATTGGTTATGTACACACAGTGTTTTAAAATTGAACTTGGTCGTTATTCAGTCGGTCATCGCAGCAAGTAATCGCTCCGTGGCAAATATCGCTTCGTGGCTAGGCCTCGGATTGTTACAAAATATGAACCTACAGTGACAAGTATCGTACAAATACTGTACAAATGACTCTCAAGAGTCAGTATTTGCGGTGATTGACTAAATTCTAAAATTTAGCCTATTTATTTTGTCTTTTTCAAAAATGGTGTTTTTCGGCCAAAAATTGTGTTTTCCGGCCAAAAATAATCCTAGCAGCCAGTGGTTCAGCTGTTCCACACAATTCTCTGAACCAAGTTCTATGCACAAAAAGAGGCTAATATCTTTAAGGCCTGTTTGTGTTTTCTAAGAGCTTTTGAGACAACGAATGAATGGGAGGTTTGCGGTAACACCATGTGAAAGAAAGATATCTCCTAGTGAGTTGTGTGGCTCTGAGAAGTTTGATCTGCTCGTCATCATGAGACAAGAAATTTAGTATAATTTTCAATTACATTTCATGCTTTTGAGCAATAAGCCAAGGACCCTTGATGTAACGATCAATCCTTGAAGCTCAACGCAGTCAAGAATTGTCATAGAAATGACTGGAAGAATAGGACAAAAAAAGACTTGTAAAACTGTTCTGGGTGGGATTCGAACCACTGTCATCAGGGGTGGCACATCTGAATCATGGCAAACAAATTCCACAGTGCTGCCTGAACCACACAATTTTCTGCTAACACAGCTTTCACGAAGATCAGCAAAAGGTATGCCAACCTGAAAGGGAAAACCCAACCTAAATTAATGATGTAACAATTAATGTTGTGCATCAGGTCTGGTTGACCAGTTCAAACTGACCCGAAACACTACTGATATAAACCGAACTGAAACCGATCTGAACTCCCCAAATCCGACACGACCCAACCTGACGAAAATTGAAGCAAAAAAAAACGACCGAACCGACCCGAAACCGAACCAACCCAAAAAAAACCACCCTGAATATCTGGCTTGGGCAACTGCCTCTGCTTTTTGTGCCTGAACTTGCCCGCGTCGCATGAAAATCAATGTCTCTGGAACGTACTGAATCATATCGTACAATACGGTGAAAACTCATAACGTGACCTACTGGTGGGTCTACACATAAAAGACCGCAAGCCATGTGTAAAATAGTGCAGTTGGTTGACGGTCGTAATGGGCACAGTGACTCTGCAAAAATATTGCACCGCGTGAATTTCTGAACTGTTTCAGTTTGTTTTGGTTTATTTTGGGTTTTTTCAGAAGAGGCATAACCAAGCTGACCCAGCCCGACCCGTAAATTGCAATGCAAAAACCAAGACCGCCCTGACCTGACTGAAATAATGGGGAAAAACGACCTGATCCGAACCGAAGTCGGTTAGTCGGTTTCTGGTCGGGTCAGTTTCGGGTTGGGATTGCACAACATTAGTAACAACAGAAAATATCTGATCAGTCACAACGTTGCGCTATGGATATTGCTCATGACAGCTTTTCAGTTGACTTTTTTTTGTTTGGCACAAAAATATGCTGACGACTATACTGGCAGCATTTCGTTGGCGATCTTTAATTTTATTTTTACGCAATGCGCATCTTGTCAAGGATTGGCATGATGCGGTCGAAGCGCGGCCGCTTAGTAGGGTCCTCATTCATGCAGATCTTCATCAGCTTGATGATGTGTGGGGAGATGCCTGGCAAGAGTTCCACACGCAGCCCCTCCCCTACGATCTGAGCAAAAAAGGACAGGAATCCCAATCAATAAGACAAACAGGAATGTTTATGTTCATATAACCGGATTAGACAATTGTTACTTTGGATTAAAGATATACGCGCACATGTCTATCGGGGACATGGTACCGCATTTGCATTCTAATTTTTTTTTTCAGGCAATGAAAAAACAGATACTGTCATTAGCACAAAAGTTGGGGCATACACAAAAAAACCTAAAAACACTTCGCTGTCAAAAACTATTGGAAAATGTTGTGCTTACTTCATAACAACAAACTTTTTGTAAATTTGCTGGAAAAAAATATTCAATTGAAGAGCTTGTTGCGGTAATTCTTCAACCACTACATTATGCAAAGTGAAAACTATAAGTAAAAAAAAATTTCATAACGAAAACAAAGATATTCCAACTGGGCGTATGTGCACATCAACCTTTGCCATTCTATGTTCTGGGAATAATTAAGAAGCTAAAGATAGGTAAACAAGTCTATAAAGGCAATGGTATACGCATCTGCAATCTTCAAGTTTTCATGCAGACAAAAAGAATACGAAAATTTAGATCAAGCATCATACTATTAAATACATTGCAGACCGAGGTTTTTCAAAACCATGAAACCCCACACTAAACCCTATGTAATTTCAACCACTGCAGCCATTCAAACATTAATTTCCTTGGTGCAACATTATTTTCCTACTAAACATACTTTGTCTAATACCAAAATGGGAAAATACTAATTAATTGAAATGGAGAAAAAAATCTGATTATTTTTCGGTACCTTCATTCCGACTTCCATGGGTGTCAATCCAGCAAACGGTACCTCTCTAGTCACTAGTTCCCATAGCAGGATAGCAAAGCTCCACATGTCGGCCGCTCGTGTGTTCATCTCTTCTGGGTCCTTTTGAAGAGCTGAATAAAAAAAACATCGTCATCTTAAAGTTGGTATATACGTGCTTTTTCAAAATTTCAAATTTCTTTTCCCAACGAAGTTTGAAGGAATGTAATGCCCTGTAACAAATAAATTTCCTTGTTTGCATTTAGAGGCCTGTACAAAATTTTAAAAAGAAAGTTTTGAACGAAACGCTTTAAATATTCATATCTAGTGACGTAGCCATGTCACGGGACCGATCCGTGATTGCAGCCATTGTGAGACATGCTCCATGATCATGACTTCACGGTTTCACACTGCATACAAGACTGCCGTATCGCGGGCGGCGTGTGGGAAACCGCCCGTGATTAACAAGCTTGGCTGGTTTATTATTCCACATGAATATTCAACATGCTATTGGTCCAATCACTACAATAGTTAGTCTGCATGTGGCTCACACGTACATATGTACAGTAAGTTACTTGAACGTGTGTTGTTTATTATTATTCATAAACAGCACTGTCACAGGAGCACATGTGTAACTAGGTCCCACTCGACTCGGATTCGAATAAGGAGTGGGACGCTCTTAATTCAAAAGTTGAAATTCATTAATTGGTTACTGATCGTCGGTCGATTTTTGTGTGCGATATCTCATTGGAAAGCTCATAACTAATGTAATGCTGGAAAATTATCAATTCAATTTGAAAATCTATTTTTCGGGTTGCCCCACCCAAAAAGCACTTATATACCAACTTTAATTATGGCACTACAAATAAAAAAACAAAAAAAACAATAATAATGAAATGATTCTGCTATACCTTCTGGTGAGGCCCAGGCCGGGTTGAAGAATTTCCCGCGATTCTGGAAGGAGAATCTGGTATCTCCCATGTTGATCTTGGCCGTCAGCTCATCATCAATCTGGTCAACAATCCAAATAGGAAACAAATTGATTCTGGGTACTCCGAAATCTAGTGGGGGTTGTGTGGTCTAGTTGTAAGGGCTTGTAACTCATGATCAGAGGGTCAGGGGTTCGAATCCAGCTGCTGGTCATATGTTGTGTCCTTTGGCAAGCCACTTCACCCCACTTAGCTCCCTCCACCCAGGAGTATAAATGGGTACCGGCATTAACTGGGGAGTAACCAGCGATGGACTAGCATTCCATCCAGGGGGAATAGAAATATTCTCAGTCTCTTCATGCTACTGAAACCGGAGATAAACGCCGGCCTGATGGGCCACATTGGCTTGCGACAGACTTTACTTACTCTGAAATTACAATCACGATGTCAGCATTGCATTCGTGTCCATCACAAGTCCTTAATAAGTCCATTTGCAAGTCTACCACAAGTCCACCGCAAGTTATCCAGACCTACATCAAGTCACAAGCTATTCAACTGAACTACGACAAATGCATTCCTTTATTGTTCATTTCCCAGTTACTTTAGACCGAATGTGTGACTGGACTTGTGATTTACTTGTGACTGGACTTATGATGGACTAAACTACAAGACTGCCTAGACCACTTACTGTTTGGGGATAGAGACATGGGCTTTTTTTTTATATACAACAAGTAAATAAATCCTCGTCAGCTGATTGGTGGGTCGTTGATCACGTGTCATTGAATATTCACCCCAACACACGGTGCGGCCGCAAGGCAAAAAAAAGAGTTCTCTTCCACGATAAAATAGAAGTTCCATTGTACGGTCACACTTTTGCCGGCTCTGTTCAATCAGTTGACGAGGATTTATTCAGGTGTTGTATAAGACGAATAATGAATGCTTCACATTTGTGCAATGGAAAGAATAATTTAACCAGGCTTTGTGAATGGAACATTCCATCTGTCACCTCATGAATTTATTCTTACCATTGCACTCATAAACATTCATTATTTGTATACTATTAAAAGCGGGCTTAAATTTCTGAATTTTCTGTGTACCATGATGTTCTTGCTGTTGAGATAGAAGCGTGGGATGAGTGGCTCCATGGCATGCAGGAAGGCCATACCACGAGCAATGTCCACCGCAAAGCGAAGCGTCTGAGCTTGATCAATCATCACATCTAAACAACAACAACAACAACAACAACAACAATTAGAGGGTTTTTTTCCTACGGCAATGCTCACTGAATACCAGTGTACCATTATACTGTAACAAAAATGCAACTTCTGCTTATTTTATTAGCTTAGCTAAGAAACAGTCTGTACTAACAAAGTTTAACCCGAACTCCCTAGGCATTTTTGCTAAGATGCGACCTCAATCCTGCAAAATCCTCCAACTGCCTCCATTTAAAAATTGCAAGCAGCCTCAGTCCTGCAGCATCATCCATTTTTCTTGAATGTGGTCGTTGAAGGGGTAACCACTGCCTCAATCCTGCAAAATCCTCCAGCAGTCACTGTCAATATGTTGAGGCAGAGCCAGTGACATCCTGGAGCAGCGCGGAGGATTTTAAAATAATGTAAAAATTTATGCACGGCTGAGCATAAACAACACAAGGTCTGCCTACGGCCTTGACACAGTGCAGTCCCCAAAATCAGCAACACATTTTTGCCATATACATGTAGCCTCAATCCTGCAAAATCCTCCATTTTGCAAACAGGATTTTGGAGGATTTGGGAAGGTTAAGGTTAAGTGGGTTCCCCAAATACTGTTTTGTGGATAAGTAAAGCAGAACACATATTGTAGTTTTCACTCGTTAACTGAGAAATCTGGCTGCTAAGTCAAGCTCTCGGAAATCTTGCAGCAACGTCTCTGCATGATTGCCAAATATAAGGAAATAATCATCAGTTTCCCAAGCTGGTAAAACCCCCAAACCTTCTCTTACCTGATGCCTCGTGGAGAAGATGAAAGAGTGATCCCCTTGGCAGGTACTCACTCAGCACGATCAGGCTAGGGGGGTGGTTAACGCAGCCCAGCACGGCGTGGATGTTGGGATGGGAGAAGATGCGTAGGCGGGGGAACTCCTCCCCAAACTCACGCGAGATGCGCGACGTGATGTTGTGCTGCTGCAAGACCTTGGCCATGACCTCCGTGCCTTGCCACATACCCTTCCACATCTGGAGACAGATAAGGTGACAAACGGGATGATTGAGAGGATGACAAACAAAATGACAGACAGAATGACAGACACCCTGACAGACACCCCGACAGACACCCCGACAGACAGGGTGACAGATCTTATGACAGACAGCCCAACAGACAGGGTGACAGACAGGACGACAGGCAGGTATTGATAACAGACGTGATGATTGAGAGGATGACAGAGAGAATGACACACACCCCGACAGACACCTCGACAGACAGGGTGACAGATCTTATGACAGACAGCCCATTCCACAGGGCAACAGACAGGAAGATAGACAGGATGATGGACAGAATGGCAGACACCCCAACAGACAGAGTGACAGATCTTACGACAGACAGCCCGTTCGATGGGGCAACAGACAGGGTGACAGAAAGAGGGATGGTCTGGGTGACAGACAGGGTTACAGACAGGGTGATGGACAGGCTGATACTTGTGCATCCTTAAACCAACAATCCAGGCATTTTGTTTTTGCTGGGAACTTTCATGAATCCTTACAAATAAATAAACACTAAGTTGGAAGACGGGTTTACTGTTGGATTAAATTCTACAAACACTGTATATTCTGTGCTTTGCAAGAGCTGGTGAGAAAATCAATTCAACGATTTTGGTGGTCGAATGATATCTGCGCTAGTCAGCAGGTAGCTGGTTTGAGTCCCACCACAGTAAACTTGTGATTTGATTTTTCGCACAAGCTGCTTGGAAAGCGCCGAATAGTATCCAGAATCGTGTACTTACCTCGCCAGTTGGGCTGCTGCCAACTTTGGTCTGCAGCTTCACGTGCTTGAGGTCGATCCCGGCAAATCTTGAGAGTGTTCCATCTCCTGACACACAGAAAGATATCTAAACCTGTGAGCATGAAGTCAGCCTTAACCTTAACTTCCCAAGTACTTTTTCCAAGAAACTTGGTTGATCTTGCACATTTTGTTTTGTACTTTAACTTTTAAAGGTAGAGTAAATCATTTGCAGCTATCCAAAAAGTAATTGACAAAAAGTATTGTTGACAAGCATACTTGGTTTAAAGATGGTAATGGCAGTAAACTACCTGTGAAATTATTCTTCCTGGCATGCTGTCATTTTGAAGAAACAATGAAAGAATGTAATTTCCAAAGATGCGTCTAAAGACACATTTTTGGAAATTTCCATTTGTAGTTGGTTTGTAATTTGGCGAAGCCATGAATGGGTGCATGCAAGCGTTGACACAAGGCACACGCGTTTGCTTTAGTTTGTCGGTTAGATGCATTACATCACGTAGCTGCAATCGGCTGAATGAGAACAGGTCCCGGAAGCTGTTTCGGGCGCAATTCAAAACATGACTTGGCAAGTGTTAAATTGAAATAAAGATGTAAATATAAAGTGATTGTGCTGTAGCTGTTCAAGTCTGATGGATTTTGAAGGAATTCGGAGGAGTTAGGGCTCTGAAGAAATAACAGAAACGAGAGCAGGTCAATTGTTTAAGGAAATTGAAGTAAATTTAAAGAATCTTTAATTTATGGGGCCATAGGAAAGATGCAAGAAATATTAGTGAATCTCGTGTATTACAAATTAAGTTACATGTATTGTAAGGAAACTTGTGTCGTCGTAGTATCGTGAATTGGCTTAATTTTTTTAATATGCACACTATTTTATACTTCAGCGTGTATTCATCTCAAATCACAACCAGAAAATTTGAAATTAGCAATACGTGTACAACTGCAAGGCCACACGCAGTGAACAAAAGCTACTATTATGACTGTAATCACCATACAGGCTGCAATGCAAGTAATAAAGTGACGTGCACAATACATCAGGCAATTTGGACCTCTAATAATAAACACGGCCGTTTGGCTACCTCGTGTAAATACTGTACGTCATCATACCATAGCTAAGGTACAAGTACAGCTCCCAATTAAAATAGAAATATTCTCTTATAAAACCACAATTGCCAATTATACAATTTGACTCAAATTGCACAAATACTGAATCCAAAGCTTGATGTTATGACTGTGTGAGGGGAATTGCAATTATTGGCAAAATGCATTATTCAATAAAGACTCTGCATATTAGGGAAGAAGTTCAAAACAGGAATCACGATTGTTCTTGCTCCAGATTTCAGTAAGATTGCAACTGCATAAATGCGTGGGTTGACTTTTTTTTTGAAATATCACTCTGTTAACACTGAGACTGGGACACTGGGTGCTCATAAACCACCATGCAGCTGCGATTGGCCAAAGGCATTGGCCAATAGGAATCCCCCACATCTTCAGAACACGCCCTAACAGTCTGTAAGTTGGACGCAGCTCAACTACCGGTACCACTCACACATTATCTGCTAAAGCGGCCAGTGTTGGAATGAAACTGATGCATTTTCGGCTTTACCGAGTAAAATCCAATGTGACGCTGATTTTGAAATCCACAGAAGAAGCAAATCCAAGGAATTTGTCCTAATTTATTGGGACTGAATGAAGGAAACATGTTGATGACTTGAACCTGTGGAGTTTACTTTGTGCAAATGTTCTTCACACAAGACCAATGAAAACATGTAAACTGGCTGAAAATTGAAGAAGGCTCGGAGACTGTTTTTGTCAATGGAATGGGACGCCAGCTGAGTATCTGTGTCGATTCTGTCGTCAGTTCTGAAAAGCTGTAGTGCTTTTAATGCCAATTTTCTTGCATTATTCTGGTTTATCCCACAAACCAAAATTGTGATATCCAGGACGAAGCGATGCCCAGCAAGATGCTGTTCTGTTGATATTCCAATAACAGTAAAACTGAGTGCATAATCAACACATGCTTTTGATGCTACACTTGCGTCGGGGTGATGTAAGTCAATATTAGGTTTTGCCCTTCACCGATGTTAAAACACTGTATACTCCGTGTGTTACCTCCCGTGTGAAAGTTGGAAAAAATCACTCGGGACTCGAACCCACAACCTACTGCATTCTAGTGCAGACATCTTATCACTCGACCACTGACTTTGCGGGATCAGTTGGCTGGTTCGAATCCAATGTACATGTAGCAGCGGGTACCGCAGTTAAACTATTCATAAGATGAACTTGCGTCGGAGTGATGTAAATCAATATTAGGTTTTGCCCTTCTGTTGTTATGGTTTGTCCAAATAGAATACCCTGCCAGATTCGTCTATGAAAAGAGATGCACCTGACTTTCTTAATGACAAACTTTTACCAGGGCTGGTCACGAATGAAAAAGAATATTATAACTGGTTCATCTACTGGTATTCCAGAAAAGCCAAGTTAAATTTGAAAAAAAAAAAGCAAAATAACAATGTGTTCCAAATGTGTCATTAGACTGGGCATGCTGCTTCAACTCTGTTCTCAGCTTGTGACAGGAATACGTTGCAGGAATGAAACCCTGAAGAAAGTCCAGTGCCCCCCGCCTTGGCTGGCCTACGAAGATCACTGTTACCTCTATGATGCTGAGCTAAAACCTTTCTACGATGCTGAACTTTACTGTCGGAACTTTGCAACAAACGGCAGCCCTGCACATCTGGCATCAGTAGCGAGTCTTGCAGAAAATGAGTTTTTAGTGGCTTATAGTACGAAAGCCGCCGGAGAGCATCAGCGCTTGTGGATTGGATACCACGACCAAAAACAGGAAGGTGACTTTATTTGGATTGATGGAGCTTCTACAAATTTCACATTCTGGAATACCAACGAACCAAATGATTGGAATAATAACCAAGACTGCGTCAGCATTTCGTCGGTAAAGTCTGGGGCGTGGGATGATTGGGTCTGCTTGAAATCTTTAAGCTCCGTGTGCAAAATGTAACAGAACCTGCACAATGTAAGTACATACTGCAACGTTTCTCTTGGGTGAGAGACATTATCAATAAAGAGTCAGATAAGATACAGTATCTTACACACACTAGTCTCAGGAATATTTACATCTCAATAGAGGGCGCACTATATACGTGTGGATTATGTGTGGGAGCTCTGTGTTTGGGACAGAGCCCTGATCTACAAAGTACAATCTACGTGTACATGTACATGCCAAGAGCTTTGTCGGGGTCAGAGCTCAGATCTTCAATGACCAGAACTGCCATTTCTACGCGCTTTATAAAGACTTTTGGGTGCGCGTCTTAGCCAATGGGAGCATTGGATTCTGGTAGTCATGAATAATGCAGACGTGTACAAAGGCATGGGGAAAGTTCTCTATGGGTGATTTGTACATCGGCTGACTTAGACATTCTAGTGGAAGGAAGTCCGAGAGCAGCTATAGCGGGACGAAGTATCACTGATCCTCAAGAAACTGATCCTCAAGGAAAAGGGAAAGGGAATAACTTTCTCGGTACATAGGGTTGTGTACAAGACTTAGTCTCTATCTAGACTAGGTAAGAATCTACACACTAATGCTATGGAGTAAAACTATGAGATGAAGGACGTGACCTGATCTCTAGCTACCGTAGGTCTCGGCCAGTGGGTTAGCGGGACACACTCGCTGGGGTGTACGGGGTCACTAAGGGGTGAATACACGGGTAGGTTTTAGCGAGCAACATTCGCTAAATGCTTGGGGTCAATGTGGGTCGGATGCAGGGGTAAGGTGTGTGAGGGGAATTCGCGAGTACTTTATTTCCAAACACGACCATACGGCAAATGGTTCATTGTGCGTAATTGGCCCAGGCCCAGTCAGGCCGATATACTGACCCATTCACGACTATGGCTGTTAAATGTGTTTGTCCGGACATACACAGAGGAAAATCAGGAAACTTTGATTTCACTGCAAGCCAATCAACCATTTCAAACTGAAAGTATCGATAAAATAAGGCCGTGTTAAGTCAAGCTATACCATTATTTTTTGAGTACTGCTATTCGAGTACGAGTACGTTGATGATTGAGTACAATTTCGACATGTCGAGTATGAGTACTTTGCTACCCGAGTATACCAACACCGTCATTTCGAGTATGAGTATGAGTCTCTCAAAAAAGTACTCGAGTAGTACTCGAGTATGGGTACCGAGTACGAGTACTACAACTGTCAGTGAGTTAGTGGGAGGACTGTAGGCTGGCCCAGCGAAAAAAAATTGTATGACCTAAGAATGGTCTGCATGACCTAAATTCAGCCCTGTTTAAACTAGTAGCCATGACAGCAAGCAAAGGAAATTTCACATTGCATTTGACACATCTTTGCCTAGTAAGCTAGTCAGCGGTACTCACGTGTTCTTGTTTTCATGCCGCCCCAGTTGCTGTTCTTGTACGGCACTTTGTTAAGGTCCTGTCCGTTGGCCGCGGCTCGATCTGTAACGATGAAATATAGAAAACACTGCATTTAATTACTGTGTCTCACATTGTTGCACTGCTGTTGAAGTGTAGTTAGTAAATATTTGTTCATTGTGGAGCGAATGATTTTCAACTGCAGTGGAAACAGATGGAATTAATGGAATTTGTCCTGTTGAAATTGGAAACCAGGTTTTTGATAAAAAAGTAGTGGGTAATTTGTATATAAAACCTTTAACAATTTAGTTTAAAATTCCCAAACCATGTTTCCAAATAATTAGATTAAAAAAAAAGAATTAGAAGGTTAACACTGCAATGGAAAATTATTGGTTTACAATTTTGATTTTGATTTACAAGTAAAAAAGTATCAGTATGTTTGGAATACTGATGTAATACAATACATGTAGTTGGATTTGAATTTGGTTAGGTTTTGAAGTTACTAGTGATATTCAATATCAAGGTAACTGCCATCATTGTCATTAAGTAAACATTTTCAGTCATATTGTTAATTGTAAATTAATTTGTTTCGCGACTCTTCATATAAGACTAGTGCTTGCACGGAAGTTACACGCTTTGCTGTTATGATTGCGATCAATGTGTATGTTAAATTAACTAAGTTTAAATTAACACGTTGTTTTTACAGTATTAGTGTTCAAGGAAAATAGTCAAGACGGCAGAAGCGAAACTGCCAATGTTTTTTGGGCAGCTACGCGAAAAATGCTTCACACACGCTCAAGAAAAAAGACGGAATGAATTTCACAAAATATTTGGTATATATACCTTTAAGAACGCTGGACAGTCCCGCTTTGGCCTTATCCAAGGGTGTGTCTCCAAATTTGTTGCAAAGACTGACCAAAGCACCACTGTTGACAAGATCCTAGATATCAAAACCAAAACAAACATGGAAAATGTCATCAATGATTGTTTGATATTAACAAATTAATGTGAGATCCTAAAATAACGTGATATAATAACTCTCATACACAATATTGAGAGTCCTTAATTTCCTTTTTTTCAGCAGTTTCGTATAATTTCTCTCTTTGAAGACAGGGGTACTTGAGCACGGAGTCCAGAAGTGTTTAAAATACAACACATTTTTATATTTCTGTAAATTTCCATTAGACATTGGCAGCTGGTCTTTGACACTGGGGATAAAACAAAGTGTTTTTCTGATGGGGGAACTTACATCGGCAATGAGTTCAAAATTCCAGAAGCATGCGTAGTGTAGTGGGGTGTTACCGTGCTCATTGATAGCATTGACGTCAGCACGTAGTTGAAGAAGCTATTTAGAAATCAAGAAAAATACGCAAATAATGTATTATAGACTTCATATCAAAAGAAAATGGCATTTGTTGAAGTGTTAAATTGTACAGTGTTTTTGATTTTTAGGATTAAGTATATTTTGAGAACTGTTATACCAAGAAAATCTTGAAAGTTACCTTTTGCACAATATCTCGATGGCCGTGCGCTGCAGCAAGATGCAGGGCCGTGTCATCACCCATGTTGGTGGCATTGATCTTAGCCCCTCGACCAATCAGCATCTCAACGATGTTGGTGCGGCCCTCCTTGCATGCCCAGTGCATCGGGCTGAAACCATGGTCATCGCTATAGGGTGATAAATGCAAGTTCATATGATTAATGATGATGGGTGTCTCATATCAGTTTAAATTATTTGTATGAATAGATGCATAACAAAATAATAATTATTATTTTAACAATTTACTTTAACAAAGTCAATTTCAATTTAGTGCAACAAAGTACACAATTTTACAAATTGGGGGAAGCCTAGTCATAAGTTAATAATGAAAAAAATAAACAAAGGGTCAAATATATAATGTATAAGGTATTATCAAGAATCCATGTCAAATGGACACTAACATAATTACTTTTTTTCATGTTATTTCTAATGCATCAAAACAGAAGAAATAAAAATAAATAAAGTTTGTAAATAAATGCACTTTGACTTACCCTTGGTTTGGGTCATTCTCCACGTTATCTAACCATACACGCACATGCATGGCGTTGCCCTCGCGAATCTGGGAGAAAATGTCCTCCATATTCTCTGTTGTTGTGGCCTTAAAAAACTGCGTTACAGTGATGTACAACTTGTTGAGAATTGCCAATAAACCTTAGTCCTTAATAATAAACTTTATTTAGAACAGAAATATATCCTTCCAAAATTCAGTCTTTTTGTTGAAACTGGCACAAACTGTCGGGTTTAAATAATTATCTGTGAACCCAAATCACATTTTTAGTCCTATGTAAAAGCCGGTATTTATGAATAATGACGTAGCGACCGGCTCAAGTTTCAAAATTTCACTGACTTGGTTCAATGCAACAGTCAAGTCAATGCCATGGAACGCCCATCCCACTCCAAACGATCACACGATAGCACACGAACCATCAAGTTCAGAACAAAACTTCTCAGCAAACTCAATGAATCTTTACGAACTCCTGGAAAACAGAAGTGAACTCCAGTCACATATCTTGTCCAGTATCCGCGCCAAAGTCGTCAAACATCAAGGTGTAAAAGTGCAAAAACTTTGCAAAAGTAAGCAGCCCAAACCGCGGATGTTTTCGGGATGACAGTACCCCACAAGTAGGTTGGTGGCTCAAGTTGTGGTGTATTCCTTTTGATGTGGTGACGTTCAGGTGCAAGACTGTTTCGCTAAGGTCAACGAACTCTTGTAAACTTCAAGCCAAATAAGGTCACGGAATGTTTATAATGAACAGCTCCCTCTATCGCCCCAGGCCGTTTCGCCAAAAATATTCATGACAGTAGAGGGCGGGCTTTACTTTTTTTGAAAATCATCACGCGTGTTGTTGAAAATAGAGGGCGGGCTTTATCATTTGCGATTGCAGTAGAGGGCGTGCTTCATCATTTTTATCCATAAATAAAAGCGCCCTCTACCTTCAAAATCATTATCCAGTAAATGATAAAGCCCGCCCTCTATCTACAATAACACGCAAGTGACAAAATAAATGAGAAAGCCCGCCCTCTATTTTCAAACACATGTAATAGACGGTAGAGGGCGGGCTTTACATTCACACGTGTGTATTGCAATTTGTTGTACACAACACAAGCTGTGTTTCTGCACAGACAAATACTGCATTTAGTTGATTTCTTTGCAAACATTCCAAGCTTAATTGGACGGCTTGAGCGGACTTTAAAATGCTGCGGAGAGCAAAGAAACGATCAGTGCCATCAGAAGCCGCAGCTGTTCCCCGCGTGTCACGGTCGAAAGCGAAAAATGTGGAATTCCATTCATCTGTTGAAGAGAAGGAACTCCAAAAGGATGAGAGAGACCGCAAGAGGAAGCCGAATATCCTTGGAATGCCTGTCAACAAGCGGGACTCAGAAGAGGCATTCTTGGAGAAATATGTCCTGGGAGGCCAGGAGACCTTTGTGGAGAATTTGAATAGAGGAGATGGAAAGGTAAATAATGTTATTAAATGAAGATGATTAATGATGTTGGTCATCATGTTCAGATGTTGGTGTGATTCTGATGATGCGTGAATTCATAAAAATAAAAATATATTGATAATTTGATGGTGATGATAGAGATAATCATGGTAAGGTCAACTTTAAAAAAAAAAAATTTCTCGTTCCTGCTCTCATCGTTTTTTTCATCTATCTCTCATTTTTTTTTTTTATTAATCAAATATTTGCAATAGGCCTGTCTTGTCTTTTTACTCGTTTACAGCCAAATTGTAGATGATGTATTATACGCAAGTTCAAAATCTGGTAGAACGTGTGACGGCTCCTTTGGACACAAAAGTATCGGCAAAAGAGTCAAGGAAATGGTAGAATCCATCTGCCATCCTGTTGGGGGGGGGGGGGGGGGCTCTATTTATTAAAATCAGCCCGGCGGATAAACTATTTCTTCTTTTTTTATTTTGCCTGTTGCATAGAACTTTTTGACCTTTTAGTAACACTTTCTTTTCTTTGTGCCTGATAGAGGATCGGTGTCTTAGATGCGGAACAGAGGAAGCCAGCTTGGGAAGATGAAGAAGACGAAGTTAATACAAGGTGACTGAAGATGACTGAAGCAGGGTACCTCTGCAACACCACATCGGTGCTTTGCCAGAGCATCGTTAGCAGTCCTGAAATTGTCAATGAATTTAATTTTAGAGATACAAGTCAGAAACCATGCGATCATTTCCAAAATTATGCTCAAGCAACATTAGCAATGATTCAGACCTGGGAAATATTTTATTTCAAATTGTTGCTCCTTTTTGTAAAGTGTACTAAACAATTTTTACTAACTTTTTTTGCCTTTTACTTTAGTGCTCATCAAGATCCAAGCCATGAAAGGACAACGCTACCAGCAAACACTGCGACGATATTCAGCAACAAAAGAAAAACACAGTAAGTTACACTGAATCAGTCGGTAATCTCCAAAACCTGAGTGTCAACACTTCAATGTTTCAATCAGTTGATTCAATTTCAATTTAGAAGCGTTGATTTCAAGTGTGATTTCAATTTTTCTTTTATTTCAGGTTTGAGAAGGTCGTTGGTAGCACCCCGTCCTGGGCCCAGCTGCAGTCTGACAAGCAGAGACGCAGCGATTCAGAAGGTACTGTCATCATAAGTGCACATCTGCAAGGATTCGTTTCAACTTAGCTTTTCCAGGAATGAGGCATAAGTTTTGTTGAGTTTGGAAGTTTAATAGAAATTTGGACAAAGAAATTGACAGGACTTGGGTTTGAACCTGTGACCTCTGGATCACCATCCAGGGGCTGTGCCAATTGAGCTATCCAGTCTGATGTTAACAACATCCCAGGTTGTCATTGTTTTTGTTCTGGGGACGCTAGTCGGAAGCCGGCAACCCTATATATTGCCATGTGGTCAGGAATCACGTCCAAAGTCACGATGCTAGCAACAAAAGCAATGTTCCAAACCTGGTATATCAGGCATCACTCAAGAGGCAAAAAAGTCAGCAACGGAATTTGGTTTGCTCTAATAACTGACAAGTTTTCCTTCTCTTTTGCCACAGATGAGAGCGGAGGTGAAGAAGATGAAGCTGACCGGTTCTTGAGACGGACGGGCGACTACCTGACTGCCTCCGAATCGCTCCCAAAAGGCTCTCTGAACATCCGGAAAGTCACCAACGCAAACAAGGAGCAGTACACGAAGGTGAGCGGCCGAAGCGTAAATCGTCTCCGCATACCTGTTAATAGCAGAACTACAAAATTTAATCCAATGTGCGAACCTAATTTATTGTACTTGCTTTGTCTGACAGGGGAAGCTGTCAGCTTTAGAGTTCCATCCAACATCGCAGGTCTTACTAACGGCGGGTGAAGATCAGAGTTTACACATATTCCAGGTACTGTATTAAAAAAAGAAAGAAACAAAAAATGACATAATAAAATAAACATTGCTTTGAAGGCTCTTGTTACAATTGACAGTGAACATTTATTTCCGGTCTGTGTTGTAGGTTGACGGCAAAAACAACCCCAAGATTCAGAGCGTTGCCATGGAGCACTTTCCCATCACCAACGCTCACTTTTCGGCAGACGGAGCCGAAGTCATCATGTCATCAAGGTCGCGTTGGTACTACGTCTACGACATGATCGCCGGCAAAGTGCAGAAAATGTCATTTTTGAGAGGTGAGTTAAAAAAATGAATAAATAAAAAAAAGAAAATCATAGTTAAACCATCTTAGTGGAGTGTCTTTTATAAATGGGGACACAATCATAGCTAAAAATGTTATGCAGAATAAGTCTTCGATGCAGAATTAGTCTTCGGTGGAAAGATTAGCATGGCTAATCCTTCCATCGCTGTCTTTGAGTTCAACTAAAAAAATTAGTATTTCTCATTTTTGACTTGTTTCAGAGTACCATGAGAGGCAGCCGTTGCGTCACTTCACGGTTTCACCCGATGGTAGTTTCATGGCATTTCTGGGCCTGTACGGCTTCATTCATCTCGTTTCCGCAAAGGCAAGTGTCTTCGTTTGGAATATGTCAAAACCCTTCACTCACTTGTTCTGAGTTCTGGTAAAAGTCTGTGGTTTGCTAGTTCAAAATTCTGATACAAATGCTTGTTAGTAGTTTGCGAGCATTCTTAAATTTGAGTTTTACATACCCTGTTTATTGAGAGCTTGCATACAACATGCGTATAAGCACGATGCCATCGCAGTAATGCCTCCTAATCGTGGCTATTGGTTCAGTCCATACGCAGCAGTTTTGTGCATGTTTCAGTGCAATAATACCTGCAATTAACACTTTTATTGGTAATTAATTGGTGTTCTATTTCTTTCTAGAACAAAGAGTTGATCAGCTCTCTGAAGATGAATGGATCAGTGTCGTCTTTGGCGTTCAGTGGAGACGGTTCGAAGCTGTTCTCATTCGGAGGTAAGAAAGTAATACAGATAATGAAGTAGATGAAGCATAGCATAGTTATGACAGCACCAATGAGTAAGGCTGTGTATTGCAACCCATAACAGCAACCATTATTCCCACACCCCTTTTTTCCCCAGATGATGGAGAGGTCTACATCTGGGACATGAAGTCCAGGGAGTGTATCCACAAGTTTGTGGATGAGGGCTGCATCAAGGGCACTACCATTTCTGTCTCGAGGGGTGGCCAGTACTTGGCTTGTGGGTGAGTGCATTTTGGCCCACGGTTTTAAATGCCCTCTGTTGAAGAACAGCAACTTTGAAGTCATGAAGGTTCCAGTATGGTACCATTAATAACAAAACCTGTGATTCCTTTTGTTGCATAGTGAGGAGTCTAGGAGCTAACATTAGTTGGCAGTGAGTAAGTGCATTGACCAATTACAGAGCTGCATTTGGTTTATGAATATGTATGAGGTGGAAGAAACTACATTGCTGGAGGTGCAGCTGAATGACTGGTGAAAGATGGTGTGCTTTTCTTTGTGTTATTATAGATCCCACAGTGGAGTAGTGAATATCTACGACAGTAGCCAGTACATGGTAGCAGCAAGACCAAAGCCCATCAAAGCAGTTATGAACCTGATGACATCGGTGACATCGGCAAAGTTCAACCATACCAATGAAATCCTCGGGGTTGCATCATTCCACGCCCAAAGCGCAGTTAAACTGGTGAGATTTGGAGAGATAAATTACTCACATGTACCACACATTGCAATCTATTTGGGCCTGGTATAACATTTGCAAGATTGTCAGTATTCTCATAAATCGGCAAATGTACTTCAGCCAACTGGATGTACAAGCTGTTGACATCCCTATGATTGTGAAGGAGCCATCGTGATAAAGTGTCTTGCCCAAGGACACACTGGAGACTGGTACAACCTCGAGTCAGACACCCTGACTACTGTCCTATCAGGCTTTGGCAAATTCATAATAGACTGGAGACCCAACTGTGTACATGAAAACAAGCACAGGCATTGCCCCTTAAGACACATGCAAATATTTTAATTAAAATGACCTTGTACATAGGTCATCAAAACAATGATGCGTTGGCTCTTCACTGACTCTTTATCTGGATGAGGTATTGTGTTTTTTTTATGACTACAGATCCACTTACCAGACTGCCACGTTTTCCAAAACTTCCCCCCGAGAGCCGACAGCATTGGCCTGCCTACAATGCTGGACTTCTCTCCAAGTAGTGGCTACATGGCTGTGGGTAATAGCCGTGGCAAGGCCCTGCTGTACAGGTACGCAAGGACACTTGGAATAACATCGACGCAGCTTGTGTAATATTGTCCAATTACATGATATACGAATAGATGCGGAACATGCAACATCTAAGACAAACAAAACTTAGTGTCCAAAAACTACATAGGGTTGTCCAAGGGGCGTGGCTAACTCTCAAACAGCAATTGATCAATCACACAGGGATGCTTGATAACTATAACACTTGAAGCAGTCAATATTTGTGTAATATATCATTCTCCATTTTTTTCTTGCAGACTGGGCCACTATAAAGATTACTGACCCTCCTGCAGTATAGTGGAAGAGAATGGATATATGTGCACGATGAATGCTGACACAGTTTGCACACATAGTATAAGGCGCGATTCAACTTGAGATGTAGGATGCATTCTTGGAAGGTTTCCTCCCCCGACAATTTCATCCAGTCCTCGACCCGGCAAAAAACAGCCTTTATGTTAATCAGAATCATTTGAGAATTTCTCTGCAATCTTTTTTATGTCTTTGGCACAGTTGAGTAATGAAAGTGCAAGTATTGGTTTTTTTCCCACGGAGTTGTGATAAATTACAACAGTGCTAAACTCAAGTTGTTTAAGTAGGAACGTACAATCCGATTTGCCTAATCCAAAATATTCTTTGTTATGAATGATGGACAACTTTGTCCCTTTAATTGTACATACATTTTCTATTATGGAAAAATTAACATATTTCAGGAATTAATGTACCAAATTCTTTTCAATAATCTCAGCATTTTTTGGGTGTATTTTCAGAAAATAAAGAAAACATGACAATGTATTTGAAAGTGACTGAACGATTTCTCATTCAAGTGTTGGTGAAAATAGAAATAGGCTAACCTAACAGAGTTACTAAATGGCAAAAACTGAACGCCATTTTGCAACTACATGTACATGTATTTGTAAGATGGAATTTGCGTCGGGGTGATGTAAATTCAAAATGTGGGTTTTGTCCTTCACCGACGTACTTTATAAACACTGCATACTCGGTTCAAGAGTTGTTCCTGAGCGATTGTGAGAAAAAAATCAATTTCAACACAATCAGACTTACACGTACGACCATTAAATGTATCTGCTGCCCTCTGTGTAGATGAAACCTAATACTCGATGCGTTATTGACAAACATCAGGAATTAAGTCATTTTGTCCGTTGAGAACCGCGTTTGTTAAAGGTCCAAAGTGCTGCGCTGAAAAAACGTGTACAAAGTCTATGGGATTTGCGGTAGAATAAATAAAAAATAGAAAAACAAATCAGAACAAAGACAATGCTTTTCCGCTTTCAAGTGGAAAAGCAAAAAGAAATACAAGTCAAAACTACTCACTTTATCATGCTTTCTTTACGAAGGGATATATTTATTTACAGGTCATAAAACAAAGATTCAGATTGACATAACTTTGGGGTAGGGTGGGGTCAGTTTTATGATGTCTTCTGTTTTTTGGTCCCTATGGCAACCATGAAGAATAGCAGTACTTAAATTTTTGTAATCAATAAAAAAAAAAAACCACACAGACAGCACACACAGAAGAAAAAAAAGCTCATAAAGTTATTGCACCAAATCCTACGAGTTAACACACAAACACATGGTGCTGCCAACTGTATGGCACGCAGACTGAATTTTTAACTGGTATTTAAAGTTGTTAGATATGGCTCTCCATATAAAAGTACATGCCATAATGGTCGCTGTATTGAGGTAATGGTTTTGTGAACTTTTTTATCCCACACTTTAATTCTTTTGGCACTGCAGTCAAAATATCATATGAGAAAATGATTATGCACCATACTGAATATGAAGAATGCAACTAGCACGTTACTAGTACTGTTGTCGGTAAGGACAAATCCTCGAGTAGAAAATATACAAGGCCTGGAATGGTTGGATGAAATTGGACTGTCATCGATAACTGCCATCGCTTTGACCAATGGGAAAACAGTTTACAAAATGACAGGACAGAGTGGTGTTTGCTGACTATGCACATGTACTTATGTAAATCTGAAACCAGTAACCAGTACATTAAAGAGCCCGTTCAGCTAAGTGTGATCAACAAAAAATGACCAAAATGTCATGAAATGCATAATTATCAGCTGAATTTTGATGACCAAAGTCAACTTTTCTTCCCTGAAAAAAAAAGAAGTCAATCCTGACCAAGTGCCAGTTTCATGGAGTGCCTAAGCACGGAATTTTGCTAAATTCACAAAATTAATTTGCTTAACAAAAACAGGGTACCAGTCAAAATGTTGCACAATTGTATACTGCTTGTGATCGATTGCCAGCTTAGAGTTGTCAGACATTCCTGTTGTATATTCTGAAAAGTCCCAAACCAAGTCTCTTAATAGCTTTCATTTTCAGCAAACCCTTGTAATGTAAGGGCAAGCCCAAATTTGAAAGAAAATATTTCTCCATTTAATTACACAATACCTGAAGTATTCAATTAAAAATGAAAAAAAGAAGAAGAATGTTTTAAAAAGCAAATATGCAGATTACAATGGCAAGATATGTCAATATCTGATTGTATTTTTTTAAAAACAAAATGAGCCCAACAACTATCTAAAGTCATCAGTTTAGCACCAGAACAGTCTTCAACGTAACTTCTTCAAGTTTTTATATCCAAGTTGTGCGGGACACTTTTGGGAACTTCTGTAGTACACCCACAGTCAGTTACATAGAGAGTCACAAGGGATTAGAACGTCGTCGTACGACCGACACTTGCGCAAAAACGATATGCATTTGTGCGCATTCTGAATAAAATGAGTCGTGGTAAGAAAACAGAAGCGCAATGTTCTGTTCATGCAGGAAGTCCACACAGTAATGACTATAGTCCTCGATCTACATTCATTGTACAGTGTACTTGACTCTTCAACAGACCTTTACCATGCTGCCACCATTCCAGTCATGTTCCCTGTATCCAATAACAGTACTGCATGATATTGTTTTTTGTGCAAAAAGGAACCAGACTATTTTTCCTTCCAGCCTCGCTTTGGTTACGTTGATTTGAGTGGGGAAAAATTCAAGATGGCCACAACATGATAATGGTCTATATCTGAAACTAGAATTATGACAGCTACAGGGTGTCGATTCCTCAAAGTCACCCCCATGTAAAACATAAAAGACTTTAAATGATTCTTGAGATAGAGATGGAACCGAAGCTGAGGACAAAGTCCCAAGTTTGGAAAACGCCACAACTTTCATTTTGCAAGCACAATTACAAAATTCTTGAGTTCATTTCCACAGTTCTATGCATTGTTCATATTGATGAGAACCCCAAAACAGCCCAGGTACACTACACAACTTTCACGTTTCACAACTACCAGATCTGCCAGCAGAATCTGGGCAATAACTTTACAGAGTCTAAAAAGTAGTAAAACCAGACGCAAACAAGAAAAAAGAAAAAAAAATGTGAAGAAATAATTACAATTGTCGACATGCTACCTTCATTTTCAGCGGATACCAAATATTTCAGACTTAACAGTGCCTGCGAAGAACCATTCTTAGAATATTTGAGCTTGGACAGAATTTTCGGGTAAGAAACACGCGTTTGGGTCACGTTTTTGGATGGACATGATTACTGAAAATAAAAAGGAAACGGAAAATGTTATTGCACTCACGATGGCCACAATATGTGACATAAATGCTAGGCTTAATCCTTCACACTTGACACCAGGGAATGTTTGTATAAATTTGACTCAAATTTCAGTAACAATGTGAAGGAACAGGTAAATTACTGAGGGCCAACATAAAAAAGACTTAATGATTTTTTTTTTTGGCGACAATGATTATTTACGTAAGACAGATATACTGTTGGTTTTGGACTAAAGCTTGATTTAAACAAGTTAAAATAAAAAATTGGATTCCATCTTTAAATGTCAAAAAAAAAACAAGCTTTTATTTTAAAAATGGCTCTCCGCATTTTTCCAGATGTGATGTTCGTAGCTTTCTGGAAAAAAATTCACAAACTGACCCGACGGACAAAAAAAAAAAAAGGGAAAAAATCTACTGGGGGAATTAAAGAAATAGCCACGAAATACTAACAATTAAAAAATAATCCTCAAGAAACTAAATTTTACAATAAAGACATAAAATATCACAAGATTTTGGGGAAACGGAGTGGCCTTGCTGGAATTGGGACCTTTAAACTTCTTTCTTTGTTTTGACAACGTTGGTCAATGTTTGGAACTCTTGGAACTATTTGTTTGTTTTTCTCCGAAATTGACAATGACAAATCTGGCCCATCTTCTAGCAAGGCTTCGACACTCGTACGGGAGTATAAAGCTGTTTAGGGGAGGGGGAGGGAACGAGGAATTATTTGACTGGACTTGGGGGGCTGGGTACTACGTTGTGGTGGCGTTGGTTGTCGCGTTGTTCACCTCGTCGTTGTAGTTCCCGTTCTGGGTGTAGCCAGACCCCAAGCCATACAGATGACCACAGTACTTGTCATCGTCGATGTTGTCTTCGAAGTAGCTCTGAAAGCGGGCAGAGGAAGTGAACAGAAGGCGGTTAAAGTGCCTGAAATAGAAATCCTGATGTAAAGAGAAAAAACTAGACAAAATATTAACAAACAACAAGATGGATTGTCCTACCTCTCTCATCTTAAAGAAGGCAAGTTGTGTTAAGAGGCTGTCGCTACCGGCTTGATGCTGGGGCCCTACCCTCTGGATCTGGAAAAATAACAAATAGAAAGAAGCCTTACTAATCTTCTTTACTATTTTTGGCAATCATTTCATACATACAATGAAAATACATGCAGTGCCTTTTATGACTGAAGTAGAGTAGTGGTGTAGTAGTTTTTCACATTTCAGCGCGTCCCAAAATACCTCACCATTGTTTTTGTGAGGCTCTAGCGTCATCGCGGAAACACGTACCGCCATTATTTTATATCATTTTAAAGCTTGGAATCTTAACTTTATTCCTGGTAAGTATTGGTAAGTATTGGTTTGATATTTATTTGAAATTATGCGTGTTCAAATAAAGGCATGTCAAAAACAAACTCTACCGATTTCAAATCAATCGTGTGCATTTTTTCTAATGTGGAAATACTTCATCATGTTCATGATGTGACGATCTCGTCGCCTTTTACTTTCTGTGTTTCCTTTTCTTTTCGATCCACGTAGACTACACCTTAAATAAATTCACAACATTGTTCTTTGTTTCAAGTTCAATGTGTTTTAAATATAAATCAACTGGTTTTTTTTTTTTTATTCAACAGCTTGTCGACTTGAGTTTGTATCTGATGTACCGCATCATCGATTTACCTTGAAATCGGTTGAGTTTGTTTTCGACATGCCTTTATTTGAACACGAATAATTTTAAAACTCTTTTAAATATCAAACCAATACTCGCCAGGGATAAAATTAAGATACCAAGCTTTAAAATGGTATAAAAATAATGGTGGTATGTGTTTCCGCGCCGACGCCAGAGCCTTGCCAAAAAACTTGCGGGTATTTTTGGACGCGCTGTTATGATCATTTGTAGACCTACTTTACCGAACAATGTTGTACATAGTGATGATCTTCCTTACCTGCAAGAAATCAGCCACCTCCTGCAGTCCCCCCTTCAGGTCCTTACAGCTCTTCATCAAATACTTGACGTCATAGATGCGGGGGAAGTAGATGCGCAGTAGCTCAAAGAATTCCGTCTCCTCCGAGGGCAAGTGGGAAACCGTCAGCACTTTCAGCAGGTACGAGAAGTCATACCCACTGTGATATGAAACAAATTTAAGAATTTAATTAAACCTTACTATCAGAATTTAGCCTATGTAATTCTAGTTCCCTGAATAGAAAGTGACTCCAACAAGAGTTCCAAGATCTGGCAATTAAGGGAGAGCAGATTAAGTACAGATCTCTGCAAGTTCAGAAATTAACCAGTTCACGTCGATGCGAGTATACATGCAAAAGTTTCGCAGTATTCAAAACGGATGATGGATAAACACGCAATGAGCGAGGCCGGAAATATCTGTCTGCGACCCGCTCGCAGCGAGCGAGGCCGGAAATATCAGGGTGTGCTACCTGTAGATGACGGCCTGAACCCGTCTGGCATCGAGGGTCGTGAAAACAATCCCGCGCCTGGGTCCGATCAATGTCAAAATAATCCCGGCGCGAACTGGTTAACGTGGTAAATACGCATTATTAACAGCAGTTACGAAAATTTGGGGGCTAACCAAATTTAGGGGGCTAATCACCCTCACTCCCAGCAGAAGCTGAATTGCGAAGGACGCGGCTACAATGTGGCCTAGCTGAAGGCATGTCAAGACGCCTTAGCCTGCCGCCATGCCTCACCAGGGAGCACAGCCACATGATGATACACTCATGCTAGCGATTCACAACAGTTGTTGAGTGTTTTGGGGAAATTTCAGGGATGGATACAACTTCATCTCCTAATGCAGAATTTGACATGATCCCAAAAACAAAAGGAGCTATCTCTGACCTGTGGAATGTAATCCACCGCACGTTGTCGTTGAGTATGACCCCCGAGGTCATGAGTAGCTCGGCAAAGTGCATGACGTCCACACCTTCCTCATCATGCTTCTTGAACTGGATACCAGAGTTGGTCAAGAGATCGATGGAATCCTGGGCATACATGTCTTCCCTATGGTGATAGAAAGGATAAGAAACATACCCTTTAATCCTTGGGCATTCTTACAAGAAAATTTCTTGAATCTTACAAAATCTTTCGTTGTGCAGGAAACCACTGGATCTGGCTTTGCACTTGAATTTCTAACAGGTATCAAGTAAAATTTGAAGTCTGTCACAAGCCAATATAGCCCCTCAGGCCGGTGTTTGTCTCCAATTTCCTTGTCATGAAATGACTGAGAATATTTCTATTCCCCCTGGATGGGATGCCGGTCCAGCACAGGTTACTCTCCAGCTAATGCCGGGGCCCATTTATACTCCTGGGTGGAGAGAGGCAAGTGGGGTTTAAGTGGCTTGCCCAAGATCACAACATATGACCAGCAGCTGGATTCGAACCCCTAACCCTCTGATCATGAGTCACGAACCCTGACCACGAGGCCACCCCCACCTAAACAGGTATCAAGCATTATGTAAAGTAATAGTGGTTGGGCTGTTCCTTAATACTTCAGCATTCTTAGCTTCCATGATCCTGCAAAACACTTCACAATCCCACGTTGGATTTCAAAGGATCCGGCAGGATTTGGGTTCAAATAATACACTCAACAAGCAAGGGTCGGTCCCTCTTGCTGGCACTCACGTGAGATTGAACTTGAAGTTGAACTGGAACGTTGGTGCGCCCGCGGGGAAGTTGCCCACCTCGTCGCAGAACGTCAACCCCAGCTGGATGATCTTGAGCAGGTCCACGTTGCACCGGTGCAGCTGGTACTGGTACTCGGAGTTGCTGCGGAACTCGCCGATTGGGCGAGCCACTACGCCTGGAAACTCTGTATCCTGAACGAGGCAAAACAGGATTTGAAAAGTTGTTGAAATTTTCCAAATATCAGGAAATATATTTCAACATATTTCCAGTGACTGGCCATATATATGGTGAAAAAATGGCATCAGGATATTGTTCTGTACACAGTAAAGTACTGCTGAATTTAGGAAAATGAGTAAAAATTTGAAAAAAATGAGAGCAATTACCATGGCAACAAAATTGTACTGTTGCACTATGACCCTTATCTTCCTGAACGTTTCCTCTAGGTTAGCCTCCCACACATCTATAATGGCTGGCTCGTTAGTCTGGCCCGGCATGCTGCTAATAATTCCCGGTTGGTTATCTACATGGATGAAGCGGAACCCAGACTAATGCATGGCTTGCAACTCCAATGAACGCAATTCACTTGTGTTGCAATCAGCTGCAGTGTAAGGATATGTCAAAGCTGAAAACAAAGGAAATATTCAGCAATTCAATCAAAATAATAAACATATCAGTGAAAATAAAAATAAATCCTGTTATTTTACTTTTAAATAAATTATAGGCCTATAATAATTAGGAAAAAATGTTGCAACCTGACGCCACTTCAGCAGTTGTGTATAAAGTCTATGGAGAGTCAAGAAAATTTTCTAAAGTATTTCCTAACAAAATTGGAAATGTTTCTCAGTCCCAGATGCATGTCTTATCATTTTTGCAATGACTGACCTTCATTGAGATGATACATGAATAATAAAGTGGCGTCAGGTTGCAACTTTTTTTTCCAATAATTATATAAATGCAAAAGAAGTTAACTTAAGCAGATGTTAAGAAAAAACACGCTATCTTTACGGCATTGCAACAACACCATTGCGAATCAATATCATTTTATGACTGCCCATCCAACCACAATGCTTCAGTAGCTCAATAAGGTGTTTCACGGTAATAAAAAGATTAGCGTTGCTAAACGCGCGCCCATTTTGGAATGACCGCATGATGACTTGGAACTGCCAAAGTTTGCGCAAGATGGCGTATATTACCGTGAAACACCTTATTGGTTAACGTTCAGCTACTGAGAGGAAGGTTCCACTTCCAGGATCAACCCTTGCACTGCACAGTGTAAAAAAAAAAAAAAAAAAAAAAAATGGTTTTCTTTACTTTTACATTTTTAATCGAAAAGTTTGTTTTATTGAATAAACTCTAGGCCTATTTTATTTTCTTCTTTGAAATCTGGCTTTGGCAATGTTTCAAGCATTTTTTAAGGGAAATAAAATCCGAGAACCATTCATTTAATAATTCGAGCAGCCAAAAATCCTGATGTTAAATACTATTACTACTAGGTCAGGCATGTCAGGGAAGCAGACCATTCCGTAAAGATAGCAAGTGAAGTTGCATTATGGCTGCCGTAATGATAGCCACTGCAAAAAAAAAATAAAATAAAAAAAATAAAAAACAAGCACTTTCTTTCAACATGTTCAATCAAAACAAAACAATCACAATACTCAATAGCCTAGAAGTAGAATAGCAGGCCGCTACACATGATAAATTATTAATTAATCAATTCATGATAAATTGTCAGTATCGTTTAATCTTTCCGTAGGCCTAATTTATACATAGGCCCCTAATATCCAATGTAAAAAAAGATGGACGAAAACAGAACTTGAAAAGTTGAAGTTCTATTTATAGAAAAATCCACGCACAAAATACTGGGGGCGAATCGTGTTTGATTTTTAATGGGGCGACCTGCCCAAAGCTATTCTGTTCTCGAACATTTGTCGAACCACCTCTCAAAAATCATGCATTCTTTTCATATGATGGGAAGTACTACAACGAAAATGATATCAGATAATATCTTACCTCTATCTGACTACAGCCTGAAGTTTAGCAGATCGAATTCTCGGCAAACAATAAGGCAATTTAATCTAAAGTTTCGGCGATTTTTGCAGAATTTGGCTGGCTACGGTCGAAGGTACAGGTGCATCGTGGGAAGGTTATTTCGCCTGTTAACACAAGAGGGCGCGCTTTGAGACGTCTAAAAATAAACATTTATCATCGACCGGTGTTGCTCGAGTCAGTCTGCTCTCTGTAAATTGTGAATTCGGCTGCATTTTTTCGACTCAAGGAAAGCCAAAAATGAAGGTAAATAAGGATATTTGTTTTTCTAACTTTTGAAGTCCTCCAAGTTTCACCAATGGATCATGTTAAACAAGTTGTGAAAGAAAGTTGGGGATTGGATTTATAGAGTTGTCGGACTAGCCTTTTTCGGGCCATCCTAATGCGCAACTACTTGATAGAGAGTTTGCGCACAGCGCCCTCACGGGGGGGGGGGGGGGGGGGGGGTTCTGTCATTTTAACTTAATGACAATGAAAGTACAAAGTGTCTACTCGTGCGTATCATAGAGGATCAAAGACTTGCCCATGGTGAGGGCGATCTGTGCAAGCTATTTGATCGGCATGACAATTGTATGTAAATAGTTTGTTGTAGGTCAGTAACTGGGGCGCTAAAAAAGACTCTTTTTTATTTTGACTTTTATCGGTCGTACTAGCACCACAGCCAAAAGGGCCCCTACCAATGTATACTAGTTATTACAGTATTTTTCATTGAACATCCACATCAAAAAGTTGCCAAAATCACAGCAAAGACTTGACTAAATACCTTATAATTTAAGTGCCTACTGTCTTCTTCACATGTCAAATCATGCACGTGTACATACGCGTACACAAAGGTCACAATCATGTGGCTCTAGTGCACAGTTCTAGAGCCTTTGCTCTAGCACTCAGTGCTCAAATCCAGTTGGAAATGCTAATGTAAACCACATTTTTTTGGTCAAATATTACAGTGAAGCATACATCAGCTAACAACAAAATTGCAGCAACCTCATCACTGGAAAGGAGAAATCTGCATCAACGTTTTCTTGGCGAAGTCAACGTTCAAGTCATTGGAATGTCTTGGTTGTTTGGCCCATCCAAGAGCAACCTGCCTCCAATCACCCCACTGCAGGAGCAACGCAGCAAACAGATCGAGTCTCTCAAAGCGCTCAATCCAAAGTGAGTCCCAGTCCAAACAAACGTGGAATCTAAATTTGCTTTCCCCTCTAAATTCTATTTTGGTAGAAGTAATATTGGGGGGGGGGGGGGGGGGTGGGGGGGGGGTAAGTTCCGGGGGTGGAGGATAACAAAAAGTAAAGTGTTTTTAACCTTTTTGCACAATCCATAAAATACCCTGCATATTTGACAAATGTTTGATAGAAATAGTTTTAACTTCTAACTTTCTAATTCACTTTCCGCTTTTTCTGGGGGTGAAAGAATGAAATGTTTGATCCCAAAACAAAATCACCGTTGCTGAGTCATTTTCAGATGATTTGTGGCAGTATGCAAAACAAGCATCTTTCAGGAAATTTTATCAGGAAATAGTATAAGAAAATGTTATCTTGTTTTAACTTTCAGTGTTGTTGAATTGAAGCGAGACGTGGAATACAGGGTCACATTCAGTGTCGGCGCAGGAGCAACTAACATTGCATTGCACATGTAAGTCCAGACATACTTCAAAGTTTGTAAGTTTCAGGCAATAATTGTTTGCAATATGCCACTGTGAGTGTAGTAGGCCACACAACATCATCTGTTCAGTTTATGAAATCTTGGCTTTTTTCTCCAGCTTTGGCTTCATAAGTCTGATATAAGAATTGATGTTCTTAATGTAATAGAACATGACCCAAGCCAAATGTCAAAAATGTCCTGGAGGCAGAGCTGGAAAGGAAGACAAGTTTTCAAAACTGTCTTTGGTTCCTGCACAGTCTATTGGTACTTCCATTATTGTTCTATAAGTAACATTCACTAATACTGTGACTATCATTGAAATTTATCTTGAAAATTTGAAAATAAAAGTCTTCTTTGTTTTGCTTGCAGAACATTGCCACCCCAGTTTCCACAGGAGAAACCGTTAGTGAAAGTATCTCCACCTCTGAGGCACCCATGGATCAGCAACACACTGACAGTCATAGGATGCCCCGGCCTTAATAATGTAAGTGGGCATTTCAACAACAAAATCAGATTTTTTTTCTGAATTTTCAGGTTCGAATGCCTAAATTCCTAAGACTGTACTTGATACATCTTGTTGATAGAGTCATAGCTGCTTGACTGCAAATCCAAAAGCAGCTTTGGACGACCAAGATTATCACTCGATGTTCCCCACAATTTTCTCCATTTGGAGTCTTTGTGAAGAATATTGGCACGTCTGGCTGACTGGCAAACATTTACACTAAACAAGTAAGGGTTAAGAAAGGGAAATTTAGACATTTTACCGTAAAATCAAATTTACAAATCTGAGTCTTAATTGGTCTAGTCCAAGTCATGGTCAGACTTAGTAACTGAAATGATCCGAGTCATCTTGACTTGAATCTTTGTTTTTTGTTGCTGGAAATGTCACTCGCATCTGACAGGAAGCTTAATCTTTGATGTCAACTGCATCAGCAAATATATTATTTTGATAGTGACATCTGTTTTTTTAATTCTTTGATGTTGCAGTTTGGAGTCCACACAGACTTGGGTCGCGTCGTTCAGAGTATCATCCAGGAGATGAGGACTAACCCACCGTTTATGTTCACTGCAGACCCAGTCCAGACGTAAGTAACATTCAGAAACCTGAAGTGAGTTTCAAGAAGAATTTTCTTTTGTTGTTATCCCCCTGGTTTCAGCCAAGAAAGGGGGATCTTGCGATAGTGTAATCCTTCTGTCCGTGTGTACGTGTGTTCCATTTTTGTTAGTTAAACTGAAAAGTGCTGTCATATGAAAAGTCAGACTTCAATCTCAACCAAACTTGGTGACAACAATCTTTGGGTGGGGGACTTCAGATGACTTGAGACATTTGAGGTCAAAGGTCATCTAGGGGTCAAATGAGGTTGATTTTGGTTAGGTACACTTAAAAGTGTGCGTACTAACTGACTGTATAAATATTGCCAGCATGCCAAGGGGATCGCACACGTTAAATTCGCAAGTTTTAAAAAAAAAATTCTGGTAATAACACCAAGGGTTCCTCGGCAATGCATTGAGAGAATATCTTTCAAATTTTGAGCTTAATAAAATCCCTGATCTGTTTTTTCTCTTGTACAGCAATGCAGCTACCATGTATCAATCCTACCAACCCCCCACGTCCCTGTCACCCTCAACCCAGTTCCCCGTACCCAATCAGCAGCCTGCGTTGGGGTACAGGCCTCCCCCTCCCAGCCAACCCCCTACTGGTATCCTGCTACAAGGGAACCAGCCACCGTCCACGTCACTGATCACCACACAGAGTTCACATCTCCCAGGTGGGTAGAACCTTTGTGTGGTTCTCTAATTCAAAAGTGTATGAAATCTTTGCCATGTATCATATTTTTCTATAAAAAAGCCAAAACCCAAAGACAAAGCAATGCGGAGGATTTCAAGTACATGTATAATATAGGCCTACATTTATGCACGGCTGAGCATAAACAACCCAAGGTCCGGCCTAAGACCTTGACGCAGTGCATGATCCTCCGAAATCATCAACACATATTTGCCATGTAGCCTCAATCCCGGAAAATCCTCCATTTTGCAGAGATGATTTTAAAGAATTTGGGAAGGTTAGGGTTAAAAGATGCAAAAACTGTACATTTTTAAAATTTTAAAACTTTTGTGATGTCAGGTATTTTTAGTTTTTAAAGTCAGTCATGTGTTGTTGTTTTTTTGATTGATAATTGAAGTTTTATTTTACACCAACGGAAGCTGTGTAAACTCTCAAACCTAAAATCAGCTCCAACTTTCCCAGCTTCTTACTCTTCATTATAAAGGTTAAACCATAAACCATTGGGTTTATTGCACAGTAAAGGATTTTCAAGGATCCAGAAAGAGTGCTAGAAAAAAAAAACGTCCAGCAGGCTTGGGTTAATATTTGATGAGACTTTTGTTATCTGTTGTTTTCAGGTGCGTCGATGTCAGCAGCTTCCCAGAATGTCGAGGGGAGGCTCCCAAACCGCATCGACACGCTGGAGCATCTTGGCATTGAGCCAATGGTGGTGCCGACAGGAGGAGAAGGAATGGGCATGGTATGCCAACAAAAATCTCAGATTCTTCTGAAAAATATTGTCCCACTCTCATTGTTGATTGCTAAAATTTTCTGCATTGATACCTTGTGTAGGAAGTGGGTGACTGTTTATGATCAAACTGTTAGCACTTGTATTACATTTGTATGACATTGTATAACATTGTATTTATTCCATGACTGGTGTGATTATTGGTAGTATCAGGCAGTAACAGGCAGGGTGGTTAGGATGGTCAGAAGCTAATCTGTTAACCACTTCGCGCCGGGATTATTTTTGCCGAAAAGTTTGATTTTTTGCAAAAGGCAAAAATATTCCAGCCAACTTCTGATATACAGCCAAACGCTACAAATTCTGATTCGCAAGAGTGATTTCAACAGTATTTGTACGATATTTCTTGCCGAAACCTCATATGTTTCAATACTCCGAGGTGTGCACTGGAGCGTAAATTGTCGAATAATGTGCACAACGGCCAATTCAAGATCAACACACGGTCCGCCTCCACAGACTTTGTATGTGTGTACAAAAGGCACAAGGGATTAGCATTTTTAGGCATCACCCGGAGGCGAGTCGAGGCAATCTTGACGTTTAAACCCGTTAGCCGTGCCTGTGTATAAAAAGGATCAAAGAAATCTGAATAGCCAAGTTATGATCATGACAAATTCTTCTTTGCTTTCCCTCTTTGCAGAGGCGGTACACTCTGCCGCCCATCCCGCCCTCCCTCAAGGACAACCTGTCGGGGCTTAGCTCCACCCAGCTTCAGGAGATTCTAGACAGCGAGGAGGTGGAGCTCAAGGTGTTCAGTGAGCTGCCGCAGGTCAAGAGGTTACTCGCACAGAGACGGGAACTGTACGACGTCTGCGAGCAGCTTGCACGTGAGTACAGTAACCAAAAAAGTCGCATAGACAAATCAAGTGATCTGCCTTATTGAGGTAGCACAACTCGGTGCCATTTCGCCTCAGTTCTATTGGAATATCACTGTCTGCAACCCTGACTTCTTTACGTTTGCTTCCGCATCCAGAGACCAACCTGAGTTACCAGCCCGAACTGGAGAAACTTAAAACCCGCTTGACGGAGAGACTACGGGATAGAAATGAACTCAGGAATCGCTTTGACATGAACTGTCTGAACCAGCAAAGTATTAATGAGGTAATTGATGGAAGCTGTGTAGTCTTTATTCAAATCTGTAACTGCAGCATAACAAAAAGTCCACTTTCAATTCAATTCAATTCAATTCAATTTATTTATTCTCATCATGTAAAATCATGAAACTTGTCTCCTCGTTCTGCACACATATAGTCGTATACACGTTAAAACCATAAAAACATATACATGTATATATGTACAAATAGACGTAAAAATATGAAAAAAACAACACGAGTACATGTAACCATAAATAGAACAGCAAATTTAGCCTAATTAGATATGGACCCTCTTTTTGTGAGAAAGTGTCAAGTAATCATAATTTAACATTTCTTTAAAGCACAAAGTCTTAGATATGTTTTGTTTTGTTTTTAAATTTGTTATCAGCAATTTGACCCCAGGCATACACTGGACATTCTGAGGGTGGCTGCGGCAGACGTGGAGCATGAATCGGAAGCAAAAGCCGAGGCGTTTCTGGAGGGAGGATCGTCAGTGGAGGAGTTCCTACGAGAGTACACCGACTTGAGGAAGGTAAGCCCACTGTCTTGTGGATTATGAACCTCATTTGTAATGGACTGTTTGACCGCTTTCGAGAGCTCAGTGGACGGGTGACATCGATGCGCATACTGGTTCATGCGCGCAAGGCTGGAAGTACGTACAACAAGTTGAACGTACGTCTGAAGTCGCATGAGCGCCAGGCGTCGTCGGCAACGCATTTAAATGTTTCTCCCAGTGGTCTCCCCCAACTCTCCTTGTGTAACCGTTGAGGGGGTACTTGTGCACGGAACCCATACAGCCCACAAACTTCAATTGTAATTAGGAACCCCGGTATCAACACCCCCCTCATTTGGTGTTGTGTCATTTGCACATATGTTCTCACGTGGGTAATTGTATGTAACAGTTTGCCCAAATTCATATGATACACTAACAGTGTCTCATAAGTCTTAAAGATTCAAAGCAAAACATGCGTCAAAATGTGCGAAAAAAGATGCCGTACAATTTTCCAAGATTGCTCTACCAGATATTCAAACTTAACTCATATAGGGTGTGAAACAACGTGTAGCCCATTAAAAATAATAAATCAAGGTTGGTGATGCACTTGTCTCTTTGTTGTTCTTACAGACAATGCACCTGAGACGAGCCAAAGAAGAGAAGCTAGACAACATGCTGAAACATGGAGTCATGCTGAAATGATTGGAAGACTAAATACAAAATCTTTCAAATTGTCCTTTTGGGAGAGTTCATTTATGAGTGCTCCTGGTTTAAAGGGAATATACAACATTTGCTTTTGCTGTAATTTTCAGATATGGATGATTTAGGGGGTTAGTAAAAAAAATATTGTTACACTGACTTGTTTGACATTTTGGGTTCATAGATACAGGAAAAACCAAGAAAAACAGTCACGTTCCCTGACCCAACTTCAGATGAAACAGAACAATTTATGGACGTTGGGGAATTGTAAGGTCAGGAAATCAGTCTAGCTGGCTTGTACCTGTTCACAGGTGTGTAATTGATTGCAAAGAAAATGCGGACTAACTTAATATCAATTTGGAGCAGTATTTGGAGAAAAAAAATTAAAAATTTCCAACGCCAGTCGGCCGACCAACGTTGGAAATTGTTTAAAAGTGTTTAATACCGGCCAGCCATGTCTTTATCATTCATTTCAGACCGGCCACGTGACAGGCTCTCGACCAATGGGAATGGGTAAACTGTCTTAGGTGTTTATGAATATCTAATAACATTTACGATCAATGTTATTTTTTGCAAGTTGTTAGTAGTTTAAATGTGATATATTCACCAGGCTTGGTGGTGCAAATTTTGTCTTATATTATCTTACTTGAGTCCACTGGTCGGAAGTTCAGAAATTTAGTTGTGCAAATATTATCTTAAATGTGTAATATGTGTATCATTGAGCGAAACTTATATTTTATATATTTTTGTTTGTTTTACTTTTCGATATCTAAAGTTAAGAAAATTTAGCACCGCCTCGATCAAGTTGGGAAAAGCCCAGGCTTTGATGGATTTTTGTAAACAACGAAAGAGGAAAATGTAAATTTTTTATTACATTGTGATCATGGTAGCTACTGTAAAACTCTGTCACTGTTGATTGTGAATTAAATCTCCGAAATATCTGCAGGTTGTTTGCGTAGTACACGATGTGGAAATGTTCACATTTGCTATAACAAATTACTTCTGTAAATTAAGGAAAAATCGGAATGCTTAATTTGAATGAAAGTAATCTAGATATGTATAATAAAATAAAAGAAAGCGAAAAACATTGTATCAAACAGGTATTCGTTCCAATCATTACAATATTAAATATATAGACGTTGCTTTTCAAACATATATGCACACACACACTTATTAACATGTATGCTAGTACATGCGCAATTATGCCCATTATCTGTCGGAATTATGCGCATTATCTGCAATATATTGTGCAATTTCTGTTTAAAGGGTGGTGCATAAACATGATCTTACAGCTATAATGTAGCATTTAGGAAAAATATAGTACACATTTAGGTACATTGGGTTAAAATGTAGGCGCACTGTGATAAATTGGAAAGAATTCCATACCTGGACATCACTTGACACCCTGTGCACAAACCCTATTAGACTGGTCTGAAAATGGTGTTTTCTGAGTAAATGCTTCAATATTTTCCCTGCTAATTTTGAATTTTTAGGACATATCGCTTTCTGGTGATTGAAATGTCATTGCAGGGAAAAATTAGTGATGGCCATACATGGAATTCTTTCCGATAAATTATTGGGAGGGGCACTGCAACCGGCACCCTTGCCCAAAAATATCGGGGGGAGGGGGGGGGGGGACATATTACTGACATTATTGCAGCAGATGTATGCAATCTGAAATGAAACTAGCTGACCTTAGAATTTTAGGCATGAACTGTTGAGAACAGGCTGAACTATGTCCGGAAGAGTATTTTTGAAATGGGAAATTGAAGCCCATCTCAAAAGCTGCCCAAGTTGGAATGTTCTGATATAGCACTAGAAAAAGGTATCATATACACTTTAATACTTGAATCTCGTTCCTGTTATGAAAACAATAACGTAATTTGAAGTGGCGCAGAGAAACCCCGAACATTTCTGCCCACATTTCAATGAAATCCAATGTATACACATTACATATCTCTAGAATAAGGAACGAACTTCGCGTACAAATACAAGAACAGCTGCTCTCGACACTGCATCTATAATATACAGGCTCCTACTTCACATTCAAAGATGTAGGGCCTATATATACACGAAAATGAAAAGTCAGAATCGCAACTTACCCGATTTGTAGATCTTTTTCAGGTAAAAAGGAGAGGAAATCCTTCACGTCTGAATGCATCATGTGGAAGTCAATGCACAGTACGCAGGGTGTCATAGCGCCACCTCTTCCCATTAGCAGATCAAGAACTTCAAGTGGTGGCGATCGGGCCTTACCCCATCCCAAAAATTGTTTCATCACGAGGGTCACTCTTTAAGTATTTTCAACGCCGGCGCCGTACATTAGGGATTGGCAGGGAAAACATCCAAATAAATCCAAATATCCTCTGTAAAATCCCGCGAGAATCGACTGAAGCAGTGATTTTTTTTATAGGGTCAGAAATCCGTACTTTTATACCTTAATCCTCCGAAACACCTTGGGGAAGATAGTGACATTCCGAGTGTCGTTTCTTTGCAAAAAAAGTCATATGCTTTTTTTGTGTGGATCTTGCACCTCAACAGCACGCTTTTCCAGCCAAAATAGACTCTTCTTCAAACAAATCAGAAAGAGCTGTTGGCCTTGCCGAAAAGATTTCCATATACGAAGTTCACTCAACACCCTGCCAGTGTGTACAAACCCTATGAGATTGGACTGAAAAATTCCAAGTGTTTTCTAAGAAAATGCTTGTATTTTATCACTGCTCAAATTGACTTTGATGACATGAAATTGCTATCTGGGGGCTTGTTAGTCAATACAGAGGAAAATTAGTGAACTTCGCATATGGTAATCTTGCCGCCTTGCCTGCCCCCGCGCAGTTGAACAATTTCTTCCCAGAGATTTGAGTTGGGGGAAAAATGAGATCAGTGTCGTCGAGGTTTACTTTTACCTATGCTTTTACTTAGTGCTTCCTAAAATAAGATACAAGTACAGAAAACAAAACCCGATTTGAATGATCGTCCGTTTTAAAATTTGAGCACATAGTTCAGATTTATAGGTACAAGATTGTAGGTTCTTGTTACTTGGACGAATGGAGGAAATTCAGGTAATATAGGTCTAAAAACGTTATGTTCAATTAAAGCACATTTAAAAGAAGTTGACGCGCATGTGCTTTTCCAACGTCGCTATAACGAACATTTGGCTATAACGAACATCCCCTTTGGCTCCCGACATGGTAAATTCCATTGTAATGCACAATCACTATAACGAACAATCATTATAACGAACAACCACTTTTAACGAACATTTTTTATGGCCCCACCATGTTTGTTCATATAGCGGCGTTTTCACTATCAAGAATTTCGGTAAACTTAAGTGCCCACACCAACTTGATCGTCGGCGCTTCAAGTGATGCGCTCTTTATTCGTGTAAAGAAAAAATTCTCCTCATAGTAACCACACAAATACCAATGAAAATACGTTCCAATAACGACATTAAACCATTTACGTTCAGTGTGCTTCGACTGTAAACTTTTTATTAATTTCTGAACAACATAATGTGTATTATTGCAAATATGTAATATATTTAAATAAATGACCATGCTTGTTTACACATGCACAATACATATATGTGATACAATACACAAATGCTTATGCATGCAAATTGAACTTTCCTAAAAATACTCACAAATTTTAGAATCTCAACAGTTACTTGTCACAACAGCTCAATCCGCTTACATATTCAAACCATAATTCCGTTTGTTCCTGTAATTTTATTTACATTTACATTTTAAAATTGAAAACATTCCATTTACAAACAGTTTATTATTCAGTGAGAAAGCAAACATTTTTCCTCGTGAATATTTTTCCTTAAAAAATTGTGTTAAAAATATTGCAACAATACTGGCTTGAAACAGTCAGTCTTTCTAATACCAAATATTTAGTGGGAATTTCCTTTTTTTTTTTTTTTTACCAACAACTGACACAAGGAAGTGATTTTTTTGGGGACTATTTGTATAACAATCACTTAAAAAAAACACCACGAGGAAAAAGCTTGCACAATTTGTTTCAACTCCGGATAACAAACAATATTTAAAAAAAAATGTTAACTGCACGTAAAATTGTGGTAATTAATTTCAAGCTTTTCAGATTTCATGCAGCTAAGGATACTTCAACAGAAATTTTTCTTTTGTTTTTGTCGAGCAACGTTACACATAAAGACATTTGTGGTTTTCAGACATAAAATATGTTGGCAGCACTACAAATAGACATGCATATATTACAACTTTGCAATAAAAATAATAGTTGTTTATTTACAGGGAAAATGTTAGGATAAATGGTTGTTTTAAAAATAGAAATTGTTGATTTTTTTCAAGACCTGTCTCCAACTACAAGCACTCTTTTTTATAACCTTGATAACGAAAGTACTTAGTATAAATTTTAAGTTAGCAAAATAGCACTGACTAATTATAATATGGCAAGCATGCAAACATTATACTTTCTGAGTTCTGACAATTTGCAAGTTTTTTTTCTTGGTTGCACTAACCCCTCCCAATACATAACCTTTGCTCTACCTGATCGTAGAAATCACTTCAGTATTTGAAAACAGTGACTCGCCCATGTTTTATCACAGCATGGAGGTAGAATTCTACCTCCATGAGGTAGAATTCTACCATGAGGTAGAATTCTACCTCTATGATCACAGCCCTCCAATATCTGCCGCTGTACTTTGGGAGTGAACCACAGTACACTGCAAGAACTGCCAAAGGGTATTGACAGAAAGCTTGGCCATGCTGTGAGGAAACTCTTTGGTCAGCAATAAACAATAAGACTAAAGTCAAATAGTCTGTCATGTCTGTGGTAAAATCACTTGGCTGGTGAGTCAAAGAATCCTCCAATACACTTTAGCTGGATTGTAATGGCATGCACAACTGACTTGCAATACACTACACCAAATAAATGAATGCCGCACTTTTACATGATATGAGCCATATTGTTCTCTACAAACGTGTTTTCACCAACATGATACCAATCGGAAAGGTCATTAAAATGTAGAATGTAGAAGTGCACACAACTCATGTCTTTAAAAATTTTGGATTTTTCCTGTAAATTTTGGTATACAAAATTCAAACATTGAGCCATTCGAGTGCTTGTCCTGGTTTAAGTTACACGTTCCTTTTCAGACAGATTGCTTCTAACATATGTGCCGTCATTGTTATGGCAACGTATTCCCCACAGTGTACTTGATATGCATCATATGCGGCGCCAGTTTGATGTTATTCTTAGCAGCTTTGGCTCATCATCAGTTTATCCACTGCTTGAAAAAAATACATTTGTATACATAGAGCTGTTCAGTCTATTGTACCATGGATGAATAAGCCTACACCTCCATGGAGGAATAAGCTTATTGCATTTTGAATTTTTTTAATGTAAATCTAAGCCATAATCTGGATTTTCCTGTGCCCAACCTTTAGAATGTGAATAGTAAATGATCTTAAATACTATATTTGTCTGGTCATCTTAATTCTGGTCTGGTAAGAAAAAGATGTACATGCGTGTTTTAGCATTGGAAAAATAAACAGTAAAATCTAGAAGATTTACAGTGAAGCATCAAAATATTTGAGAAAAATAATTTAGATCAGATTTTGCTGAATACATTTCCCATTTCTGTAGAAACATGCAACAATGCAACTACATGTTGGAGTGAGCTATTTACAATGTGGTAAAACTATAAACACACATGTATTTGTTTAAAATTAATACACCATGCACTTAACCCTAGTGAAATGATGTTCAAGTATTATTAAAAGGCCGATTTTTGTTGGCATTGTTTAAATTTCGATTAAGTTTAGAATCTATAAATCTTTGAAAATCGACAGCGAGTAATAAGAGACAATTTCAAAAAGGCTTTAGAGCCTGTTTGTTCCAATGGATTGACACTTTTTGATAACAGCTACGTTCATTATTTTTGGGTTTCACTGTTTGGGAGAAAATGGCAGTTGAATGTGCATAGAATTTTGAGGTTGGGTTAAAACGATGGGGGTGTTTTAAAGGTAGAGTATATCATTTGTCATTTGTGCATTTTTTATTTAGTTTGAAGCAACAAAAGTGCTCAGCATCTAAAGAAGGGTGCTTAACAACTAATCTGATGAAGTTTTAGCTCAGTGAATGCTGTATATTTAAAGAAAACAGTATTCTAGGATCTCAATTTCAATTCGCTGTCCTAAATTTTCTTTTCTTTGTTGATTTGTTGTGTCAGTACATGGCAGTAAGCCAATGAGCAAACTTTTCTCACAAATGTTTACAATGAACACATTTTTTGGGTTCACAATTTGAACAGAAAATGCCTAAACTGAACAGTGTCTTCCTGAAATGACATCACAGCAACAGCGCCCTCACTTGTCTGGAAAAGCATGGAAAATGTTTAATATACAAAGAAGTGCACTTTAAATTTGACAATTAACCAAAAAAGGGATGTTAAATATTGTTCATACAAGATTCCAGTAGAAAGTTTCACAAAATGTGTCCCTAAGAAAAATTCACTTCTTTAGATTTTGGGTAATACTAGAAGCAGTGTTAAAATGACCACGGTTTGCTTTGCAGGTGCAAGGTTTTTTGTTGTTTTGTTGCAATCATAGGACAAACTGTACATGATAATTACCATACATATTGACTGCTACATGCACATTTGTGTTAATGCATACTTCATGGGCAAACTATTTTCTCAAGTTTAGTCGCTCGGTTTCGGGTACAATGCGGTGTAGGCAGGCGGCCCGTCAAACGATCGGCTGGTATCTATGGTAACTTCAGTCTTCTCGGATTGGCTGATTTCAGGTACCTATAAAAGAAACAGGACGACATAACTGTTAAAGCTGTTGTTCTCCATGCAATCTCATTTAACAAAAAGGATGCGAACATATTTCAGGATATGAGGTCCATGCTCCATTAATAATTTTGTGCCCACAATTTGAACTGCTTCGACCCCAGCCATTTTTCATTGGGCCTTCCGAAATTCTCCAAATTGTCTACTGTGCATCGGAAACCATACGGCACATTATTTGATTTTTCAGACTCCATAAAATAACAGTGTCTAGGCTAAATGTTCACAATTCCTACAAAATCTAACAAAACTTTTCTAAGATCTAGGAGGATAAGGTCAGGGTTACTGGTTTCAACCTGATAACAGTGGCAGGGTTCCAGCCTTCCTAAATCCTACAAAATCGTCTACAGTGTGTCGGAAACTAATGACACATTCTTTGAATTTTCAAGGGGGATCATGCTACATATCAATAACAGTGCAAATCCTACAAACTCTACCAAAACTGTTCAAGATCTAGGAGGATTAGGTTTTTTACGGCTTGCTCGACCTGATAACATCGGCTGGGTTCCACCCCCCCTAAATCCTACAAAATCCTACAACTCTTTAAAGGATCAGGTGAGGACCAATGGTTTTGTCTGATCATCACTCACTCTGATTGTGTAGTTGGCTCTGATCTGAGCTCTGCCATCACGCATTTCCTGGTAGTACGAGAAGACACACACCCAGCACATCAACTGAATAGAAGGGGTTTTCAAAAGAATCACAGTGAAGTTTTAAAGTGACAAATCAGCAAATCAGCAATAAAGTGACAAATTAACAAGTTTTTGTTTTACAATTCAGAAACTCATAGTAATACATAAATATAATCATCAAAGATAACAATACACTTGTTACATCTGAGGATGTCTACTTTAATAAAAAGGACAATGGACTCAAAATGGTCTAAAGAAGATCTAAAATATATATTCATATCCTTCTTCACAAAGTTTTTTTTGGAATAACAAAGGTCTGATTTCTGAAAGACTTTATGGCTGTACACTGTACTTACATCAACGACAAAGAACACAACGGCAAGAAACAACTCAACGAACTCCTGTGGTCCATGCGACATGAACTGCGAGAGGAACAAGAGAACCAGTATCAGAGAGGCCTTTGCTGTTAAACACACTGCCGACTCTGACTTCAAATGTTTTACACAATGCTTTATGCTGATGAATGGGGCTGCAACAATAAGTTGCCTAATTTATTGCTATGTTGGCAATCTGGTTACATTTGGTTTGATTTATGAAAAACTACCGAAGGCCATCTTATAGAGGCCCAAGAGCATGCTGCAAGAAATATCTCTAACTGTAAATCTTAAAAATTCCTCACATGAAATTCTTTAGAGTGATGAGTAGAGATGTGTTGCAAGCTCAACAGATAATTATTTGTGAGGCATACTGGCATATCCTGGCAAAATGAGACACAACTGTGGCAGAGGTCGAAGTGAGGGTTTGCTGGTTATAGGAAAGAGAATCACCTTCTTACAATACTGTTTTGTTGTACTTCAATCCAACATTCAGTGGACATATCGACACGTCAAAAAGTACAATACTGAGAGAAAAGCCTTTAAGGTTTGAAGTTTTATAGTGCAAATGAAAGATGCCAGTTGGTTTTCCTTAAAAACACTTTCATTCAACGATTTTTATACCATTTCTTTAAAATGTGTAGACATATCTAAGGTTATAAATATATCAATACTCAACAAGTTGTCAATAATCATCCCCATTCATTTTTTGCATTTTGTGCCATTATGGCCTGTGTCCAGTTCCGTCTAAGTTTGCCAGAATTAATGCCTCACATATTATGAAGGCTGGCCAGGACTGTGGAGGAAAGTTAGCATACAAGAAGTTTCAATGTTCGTTACATGGCAGTGGTCCGACGGGTCAAATTAAAAATAATAAAAAGATGAATCGTTTGAAAGATAAATATTTGCAGGCCTAGTTGATGAATGTTTTTTTTTTAACAGAAATGGATTTCAAATGCGACTTTGCCAAGCTTGCACAAACCTGAAAGAAATAGTTCAATTTTGAGAAAATTAAAAAAATCTGCTCACCATAGTAATGACGGAGAGGAGGCAGACTAAGAACTGGAGGACGACGAGCATTCCCATGGTAACCAGATAGGGGATGAAGAGGAACCGCTGCAGCTGAATGGGGAGAATAAACAGAACTTGATCCCAAAATAGAAAAAGTGAGAGAATCGGCAGTCTGAAATGCCACTGCACTTGAGTTCAGCTAGCGTATAAGCAGTGCCAAATGGGCCTGGTTTGCATCAACATTATGCAGTGGTGTGAGTGACCACTGATAAAAAATAGCTGAAAACAGCTGAAAAGGTATAAAAAAGCTGAACTTTGGAAATATCCTATATTTTTGTGAACAGCAAGTGAAGGAAAAAAAGCTGACATCCAAAACAAAAAAAAGCTGAAATCAGCTTTAAAGCCGAGATTTCACACCCCTGATTATGAATATGATCAACTTCAGTTACTAGTCCCTCTGCTACAATGCCCCCAGAAAAATTGATTGAAGAAATTATTAATGAAGAAATTCAATGCCCAACCTTTGAAAAAAATAATTGAATTTTCGAGCAAAAATCTAAAACATTTAAGTTGACTTTCACGGACATGTATAGTGGCCCTTCATGAATTGGGTTCATACATGAACATGTAGATGAGAGAAAAAGGCCCCAAGGCGCCCCCCCCCCCCCCATAAAAAAAACAAAAGGACATGTAGCCCCCCCCCCCCCCCCCTGGGAAAAAACCTGTTCTACTCAAACATGTCCAAGTCAATGTGCTTCATACACTACATGTAGTACTGCACACACAGTCATCAACATGCACAATCCATATAAATTGGCATGAGACAAAAACTCTGGATTAACATTGTTATCTCTGGGGAAAGAACTTTCAATTTATATTCAAATGCAGCCCCCTTGGGTTCAGGCTGACTCAAGAGATTAAGGTCATCATGTTTCTGTGAATTTTGACAATACTTTTTTTCTCCAGACAAATCTCCAAGGTGTTTAAGTCAGTAAAGCTGCATTTGCATGCCCACCAGGCAAAATGGCAAACATTGCAGATGCATCTTGTCGCCTCGATTTTAATTAAACTGCTTGATAGAATGGTTTGTCCACACATTTTGCTGTGGCCCCTAACCATGAATAAGGGAATAAATGGATTTACCTGAGCCGAACGCAGAGCACAATGCGACGCCGTTTGGCATTTCGCAATGTTTTCATTTTGAGTCACAAGCACAAGTTGCTGTCGAGTTTTATTTTAGGTGTAACATAAAACAAATGTTAAACACAAAGCAAAAGCATTTTCAATATCATTGTGCAAAATCGAAAAATTTCGATATTCTGATATGGTTACAAAATTGCTATCGGCGATATCGATATCAAAATTATATCAAACAATCGAGTAATATCAATATCGACAGTGCTCACAGAATGACATTCAATTTTTTTTCGAAAAAAAAGGAGAAAGGAAAACGTGTTTTGTGCGTAGCACATCATGGAAATAATAATCTGTTTTGACGGCCAAATAGACTGCAGAGTGAAGAACATGTACAGACATGAAGCTTACACAATAGCTTTATTGCACATAAGTACGCATTATGAAATTCATAAATTGCAGTTTTAGCAGCGAATGTACACGCATCAACTAAGTTTAACTGAACTCATGTTTTATTTGACGCGTGGGATGAAATACATAAATAACCAATGTCACTGAAGGCACTGGACAACATGAATCACAGAAGACGGCGCTAGACAGTGTCACTTTACGCACCATCAACGCTTCCAATTTGCCCTGAAGACAAGCCACGCTTGTAATCTCACTTTTAAAAGCATTGGCTCTTTGCCAACGAATGCAGCGCTGCTATCACATACATGTGGCTACCTATCATTCACTTTCAGGCCACATAAAAGAAATCCACAAATAAGAAGGTAATACGAAAAGTAGAAGTAACATCCGTCACGAGCCAATGTGGCCCATCAGGCCGGCGTTTATCTCCGGTTTCAGTAGCATGAAATGACTGATGAGAATATTTCTATTCCCCCTGGATGGGATGCCAGTCCATCGCAGGTTACTTCCCAGCTAATGCCGGTACCCATTTATACTCCTGGGTGGAGAGAGGCAAGTGAGGGTAAAGCGGCTTGCCCAAGGACACAACATATGGCCAGCGGCTGGATTTGAACCCCTGACCCTTTGATCATGAGTCATGAACTGTCACCACTAGGCCACACTCCCCCAAAACAGTGATAGTTTTTCTTTACTTTAAAAAGTTTTAAAGCTAACGATAATCTGTACAACATGAATTTACTTCAAAATTGAAATGAAACTTCAAATTGTGGAATTTTTCTTGATGGTCATTTGTGGTCATTCATAGTACCTTTTTGACACCGAGGATGACTAGGATGACCGATAGGATCAAGACGGCGTACAGACCGATGTCCACACAGTTGGCAACGTACAGGACGCGCTGTTCCATGCCCAGTCCCGTGCTAAGGGCCGTGTCATTGGACAGTGTGCGGAACCCTGGTTAAAGGATACAAATCGCAAGTTACGAAGAAATCTGGGTATTCTACTAATAATTGCTAAACAAGGCAAATTTCACAGGAAACCGCAGTTTTTAGTTAAAAGATAGGCCATGCGAGAATTTCTTGTCTTGAGCTACATGTACATGTATGAGTTCCGCGCACAAGTACCCCCTCAATGCTTACAAGGGGAGAGTCGCGCAAAGATGCAATTGCATGTATTGGCTGTGCACATACTGTGCACACTTACTTAGAATAGTAAGTACGTTATGTCTGTCATGAGCCAATATGTGGCCTGTCAGGCCGGCGTTTATCTCTGGTTTCAGTAGCATGAAACGACTGAGAATATTTCTATTCCCCCTGGATGGGATGCTAGTCCATCACAGGTTACTCCCCAGCTGATGCCAGTACTCATACCCCTGGGTGGAGAGAGGCAAGTGGGGATGAAGTGGCTTGCCCAAGGACACAACATATAATCAGCAGTTGGATTTGAACCCCTGACCCTCTGATCATAAGTCACGAACTCTAACCACTAGACCACACTCCCAAACCAATAAAAATAGTAATGGGATTTAAATCCGAATTTTGTGCTCCACTATTCAGTTTCGATTTTTGGAAATCGGATCTTCGAAACAACCTTAAAAAAATCCAGCCTTCCATTTTTGCGTACCACAGGTTAAAGAAAACAACTGCAACATTCCCCAATATGCTCCATGGTCTCTTATTGTAACTGCATTCACCTGTTAGCAGCCTTCTTGGTGTATGAATAGCCTGCCCATTCGACTTATCAGAGAGTTCCCATCCCATTTTCTCCCCAATATTACAGTTCTGGAGTAAAGGTCAAGTGGTCATATATTGAATCCTGCAAACTATACCCAATCACTGGGAGGGCATTTCATGTGGCACCGCACTAATGTCACTTTTTGTTGGCGTGACTGTGAGCTGGATGGGACCTTCTGGTGAAATTACATAAATGTTATATATAGTTTCAAAAAAAAAAAAAAATTAGTATAACCGGATTTTGAAATCTCTGATTTCTCTCACCACTAATTCAGGACGAAAAAGTTTTAAGTACTTCATGCCATACATGGGCCAACCACTACGTGCACATTGTGTGTCCCGTCCATGGGGCTCTTGAAAAATGGTAGAAAAGTGCTGTCTCCTGCACATGCATGGCGTCCACTGTCTAGTTTTTGTCAATTAAGGCTGACATAGCCATAGCTCTACAAACACACATTGGACATGGCTATACCTGTACATGTACGTACCGTTACCATAATAGTTGAGATAGCTGTGAATCCCATAGGCAGACAATCCAACAGCCACCAGAGCATAAATCTAATGGTGAAAAAGAAATAAAAGAAAGTCATTGAACTAATCACAACAGAAAATAATTCCACTTGTTAATATAATAATAATATTCCATGATGCGTTTGATGTGTCAGTCGGTGACCTGCTCCAATAAGATAAACAAGACAAAAATCACTGGGTCCCTATTGACACACAATTGTTGTAAAGGCAATTGCAAACATCAAAAAAGAAAACTACCAAATTATTACAAAGTACTAATAGTTTCAAGCATCCTGTAAAATCATGGTACCTGGTGTGCTGTCATTTTCAAAAGTGGAATTTTGGATCAATTTCCAACGATGGTCGGCCAACCATCGTTGGAGAAACACTGATTTTTCTCAAATACTGCACACAATTTACCAAATTTAGTTAGTTCACACTTTGTTTGCAATCGGTCACCCATCCGAGAAGTGAACATCCGCAAGCCAGCTAGTCAGCTTCCCTGAACTGAAATATCTTGGCCTTGTCTTAAGTAGGGTCAGGGAACCAGACAGTCCACACTACAAGACCAGCAATTTTTTTTCTGCATCTATGAACGCAAAACTTTAAACAGTCCAGTGTAACAATATTTGCTATTAAGTACTAACCCCCAAATCCATCCATTTCTGAGAATTACAGAAATGTTGTACATTGTGTAAAGCACCTTTAATGATGTGATTCTCTGCACAATTTTTTTTTTGAAAATTCTCTCCAAATGGCTTACATCAATATAACGGCATTAGGGTGGAACACTGATAGAATCATTTTTCTCACTTCGGTCTATTGACATTCAATATTGGAATTTTCCCTACATAAATGGAATTTCATATTAGAGCTGTGTATACTCAGAGCTGTTCGAGGGTTTTCGAGTTAGCTTGTGAATTTATCTTCCAAGCCCTCGAACAGCACTGGGAATATACTACTACATGTAGTGCTTTGTATTTCAGTCGAGGGCAAATCCCAAAGTTGACTTTACATCTACCCAGCGTGAATAGTAATTGATTGTGGAACCCGCTGCGAAATCAGAATCAAACCGGCCAGCTTCCCCTGGTAAGCTCAATGGTGGGGCGTCAGCTGCACTAAAAAAAAGCAGGTCGTGGGTTCAAGTCCCACTGGAGTGAGCTTGGGAATTTTTCTTGCAAGTTTGCGGACAGCACTGAGTATACAGAGATAACAGAATTATGTTGATGTAAGGCAAAACCCAATGTTAATTTAGCATCTCCCAGACCCACAATTGAATTGTTCAAAATTGTGTTGATGTGACTGTAAATTCTCCAAAATTCATTGTTTGCCAGTTTTGTTCTTAAAGCTATAGTCCATCCTTTGCAGCCATCCGAAAAGTAACTGGCATAATTATTGTTGAAAAACAAACTTGGTTGAAAGATAGTAAGAGAACTAAACTCCCTGTGAAATTATTCTTTCTGGGAAGCTGTCATTTTGAAGTAATCAACGAAAGAAGGCCTTTCCAACAGTGCGTCTTAAGACACACCGTAGGAAAATTTAAATTAGTAGTTCGTTTTGTTATTCGGCGAAGCGCGTGCAAACATTGACACGACGCACACGCGCGCACGGTTGCTATAATTCGTTGGATCAGTGCGCGACGTCGTGAATAGCTGCAATTCAAAACAATTCAAAACATGATTCAGTAAATTTTGATTTGAAATTGAGATCCTAGAATGCTATTTTCTTGGAATATACAGCTGAAGCTGAGCTGAAACTTCATCAGGTTAGTTGTTCAGTATCCTTCATTAGATTTGAACACTTCGTTGCTTCAAATGAACAAAATGCACAAATTAGAAATGATGGACTATAGCTTTAACAATTTTGTGGGAACGGTCACAGTCCAGCATTAAGGAACTGTTAAATTAACCAAAATGTGGGAATAACAAATAGGGATGTGAATTTACGGGTAGTACGGGAACTGGGTGCCCGATTGAAAAAGAACCAAATATGGGTACCCGGGTACCTGTAGAAAAGAAGCCCAACCCCAAAATTCAGATCTCAGAAGTTGCTGTTCAGATTTTTCATAAAAGTGCACACGATAATGCCGTCGCATCGGTGTGTCAATGCAGCAAGATACAAGTGTGTGCAGTGAGCTTAGTGGTGAATACCGCAACTTAGCGAGCATCATAAACATGAAATAGGCCTACATGTATGTTTTGTTTTTCCATGTGGACTGGTTTTCATTATGAAAAAAATTCCCCACAAATGACACTTCAAAACCTTTCTTTTTCATTGCCTGAGAAGTGATTACATATTAAATTTGTAAAGTTGGTTTAGGGGTTCCCCGATTCCATAATCGGGTACAAGGTTCCAATGTATGGCACTAATAATGAATAGACTTGTACAAGTCTAACACCGTGCAATCTGATACACGTAGTGTACATATTTGAGGTGTCTTGCCAAGGACTTTGTGTCAATAAGAGAGAGTTTCCTGTTTCCCATGTCTTGTGACTCACAGCCAAGTACAGCCGAACGTTGTGCAACAACATGCTATGTGTACTAAATGCACAGCAGACAGCCAGTAGCAAAATGTCAACTCCTCAATTTTTCAATCAACGTCACATTTTATTTCCAATTATCTGCACAAAACTGTCAAGCTGTAGACACAGTTTTCAAGGGGAACAAAACTGACAAGAACTGACCATTAGAACACACATTTATTAAATATTTTTTTTTTTTTGGTCAAGAACTGCAGCCATTGGCAAATACCAAAGGTCACAGCTCCTGTTACTAATACTAGACATTGTGCAATTTCAAAACGACATTATCTTTTTTTGCAAATGTCACTCAGTTAACTCCATGGTATACAACATGTATCATCAGTTTTATGCCCGGTAGTGTTAGGTGCGTTTTTAAGTGTTTGTGATTTTTTGTCAAGTTTTTTTTTTTTTATAATTGTGGGATATAGGTAGGATTTTTTTTACAAGATTCATGTTCCTTTTCCGTGAAGCTTTTCTTTATAGGCCTAATTAAAAAAAGGAAAAATTGAATTTTCCCCTTTAAAGGGATAGGCCTATAGGCCTATACAACATGCTTTTGCTGTTACTTTCAGAAATGGATGAATTTGGGAGTTAGTATTTTATAGCAATTGATGTTACACGGACTTGTTTGAAGTTTTGGGTTTGTAGATGCTGGAAAAACCATTAAAAACACTCATGTTCCTGTAGTATGGTTCCCTGATCCAACTTAAGATAAAACAGAGCAATTTATAGACTTAAGGGAATTGTAAGGTCAGGGAACCAGTATTATGTAAATTACTAAATATGGTAGATTGGGCGCAGTAGGCCTATTTACAAAAAAAACACCCAGTTTTATCCAATGCTGGTCCGCTGACCAGCGTTGGCATTTATGATACAAAAATACCACTTTTCTTTAAAATGACAGCACACCAGGTGCCATTATTTTACAGGATGCTACTTCGAGCAGTGAAACATTTTACTGTATGCCTACTGTGCAATTATCCTTCATTTTATGTAATTTCTTTATTTTGACATATTTATGATGCTGAAAGGAATTAAAATATGACTAAAACTAGGACGAGATACCTATTTAGGTAAAAAATAAAAGGTACATGTATTTCCATCAAATTCATTTGTACTCTTTTCATATTATGTGCCGTGTTGTTTGTTAGGATTAGGATCCCTTACTGTGGTAATTTTGTGTGTGTAAAGGATGAAAAATGACTACTTTTACATACTTGGCTTTTTCTCAGCAACCCAAAGTGATATTTTCATGATTTTTTTCAGTAGGCCCCCCCTATTTAAAAGAAAATTCTCTTCTAGCTTTAATCTGATACCCAAAGCATATAAATCCACAGATCCCTTTTTTTAAAGGCAAATGTTTTAGGGTTGATTTTTTTGGGGTCACCCTTTACAGGTAAGTTACTCTAAAACTTTGTGCAAAAGTAATCCAGGGAAATCCAGAGTCCTCCGGGGAAACTTACAAAAAAATATGCATGGCTTACTTTTACATGCCATACCCAATTCCCTACATATTTTGAAATTCCCCAATGTCACACTTAATGGATTCATTAAGGTAGACCCAGAACCGAATGCATTGTGACTTGAATAACTGATACAAATATTCGCTTCTTTCTGGGCCTAACTCTCTAATCTTGTGATGTTTCCCCCGAGATGGAAAGCCATCTTCATTTCCATCTCTGTAAAATTGTATGCCCGAGGCATTGACTATGATTTATGAGATGAAAAGATGGATATCTGCCTAGATGTATTGTATATCCCTCTGCGTTCTGTTCACAGCTCCTTGCATCAAGTTATACAATGCATTAGATGGGATCCTCGGGGAGGGGAGGGAAGAGTGAATAGGGGGGAGGGGCGGGGAAATCATTTTCTTTTTTTTAAGAATAGATGGAGTTGTGTATGCGAACCTCCATTATACGCACGATCACAGATTATTGAAGGAAAAAAATTATGTGGTGACCCGCTATTGAACACAACAGAAAACAAAAATGACAAGATTCAAATTCTTGATGGTTATTATGACAATTACAACTGCTGTTTTGCAGTTGTGCCCAAACAAAAGATTGATAAAAAATGCTACACCGTATCATACAACTGTTATTAGGTCAGTCATGTTGCCAGTACATGCAAATAACACACAGCAAATATTGCCCTTAACCTTCATTTGGAAAAAAGTCCGTACTTGAACCCCACTTCTTTTTCAATATTCTAGCCCCCAAACAGTTGCTTCCTGTGCGATTATTTCCTCCATTTTCCCTCCTACATTAGACTCTCCTCCTTTCCTGGTCCTCGGACTTAACAGAGCGACGAGTCAGAAACAAAAATTAAACAGCTTTAATGAAAAGTAGGATTTGAATAAAAAATAAAAGTAAGAAAAGTAATTTGGGAAACTTAAAAAGTTTCAAACCCTCTCCCTTCGAAACTCAAAACCCACATTAAATTACCGAAGCGCTTCAATTGCTGCAGTGTCAGAATTCAGAATCTTATAAATCTGCAATGTTTAATATGCTATATTTTTTACTATAACAGCTCCGTGAAAATAGCTGTGTTAATAGTATGTATGTTGTCTTATAAGAGTGCAGGATTGTCCTCGCGGTCATTTCTATAACCGTTTGATTTTCTCTGATTAGGCCAAGGGCCGCGACCCTAAAAATTTTATCGGCAATTCCAAAAAAAATAAAACATTAATGATTGAATTAATATTAAAAAAAAGTTGTTGTTACATCAGTTGACTGTCTGGTTCCCTGACCTGACGATATTCAACATCAGGATATTTACTTTGGCTCTCGAAACCAGGCTACGGGTATCAACCGAATAGTTCTCAGACTTTATTTAGGCCTATTTCCCTTTTAACATGTATTTTAAAAGAATCCTCAAAAGCTACGGAACACCAAGAAAAAAACGAAAGAAATGCGAACCCTGCTTGAATAAGAAGTAGGATTTGATTAAAAACATGAAAATCAAAAGTAAAGAAAAAGTACATATGGCCTAGGCATAGTATTTAAAGGGAAAAAAGGGGGAAAAGAAACAAAAGTATAACAATCTCTATTCCGAACGAGAAATGTGATTAGTACCGCGATAATACGGCGTCCCATCCTATAAGAGGGTGAGTGTGCTTCTAAAACATAAATAAAAAACAAACAATGTCTAAATATGAAAATCAAAACTTGACAAAGTTCTACATTTTCGGGTACAATGTACACATGTTCGTATGGCCCTTATTTACGAAGGTATTCCAGTAAATTGGCCATATTTATCATGGGGCCACCACAAAGTAGCCAAGTGGATGGCAAGATGAGCTACGTGTAGTATGGATGCAAAGATCCCTGGTTCCATCCACATCGTAGAGTTTCGTTGAGATAATTTTAATTTAAGGGGAAAAGAGAACGAGAGCCTAAGTGTCTTGCAATGATTCAAAGGACAAACATAAAGTATCATAAGTGGTACCACTGGAGTTGTGATAATGGCGCTATGAAATTTAGCATGATGCATCGCGTCACTTAGCCCCATAAATGTGGCCAATTTACTGGACTACCTCCGTAAATAAAGGCCACACTTGGAACATGTACAAAAACATACTTTGTCAAATTTTGATTGTCACATAGAGGCTTAGTTTGTAGTTTATTTTTGCTTTAGAAGCATACTCACCCTCTTTATAGGTTAATCAGAAAGTGTTGCCTTTTTCAGACGTCTATTTTTTCGTGAAATTTCATGTTAAAAGTTTGATTTGCAAACGTGTGCCAACGAATCTAGAAATTTCACAAAATAGAGCAAAAATAAACTACAAGTACAAACTAAGCCTCAATGTGACAATCAAAATTTGACAAAGTTCTACATATTTTTGTATATGTTCAAAGTGTGGCCTTTATTTACGGAGGAAGTCCAGTAAATTGGCCACATTAATGGGGCTACGAGTCGCTGTGCATGCTGTGTGCGTTTCATTTCAGATCTTGCTGCTGGACCAGTGACCAGCTGCAGGTGTCAACGCCTTGAGGACACTTTATAATAAGTGACTTACCAAGCTGTAGGCACAGCTAACAAACGTTCCTTGACGCAGCTCCCAACAAGCACAGCATGTTGTGATTAAAGGCATCATAAGATCCCAACGAAATCTCCTTCGACTAGCCCCAAACGAGAGCAAAAGACTGACTAATTTTCCACACCAAATTTGTTTACTTTTCTTAAGCAATCCTCCAAATGTGACAGTCGCCACATTATAACAATAGAGGGCGCTCTTGATCCTTAATAGCTCCATGGATAAACCATAGAGATATACTGACTAGATCGTGTCAGTGTAATTTCAACATAAATCCACATGTATGCAACAGATTTTATTCTTTTAAATTTAAAAATACAATTTGTTTTTCTTATATTGTAAATATTTTTTCTTTATATTGTCACCAAAAGAGTGCTTCATTTTTGTTTAATTTAAATAGACTAAGTCTAAGATTCGGAATGAATTTTTTTGTTATTAAAACACTTGTTTCCTTTAAATCATATTAAATTTATTTTACCCCGGTTCCTGTCAATTTTCTAAGATTTTGTGTCAAATATCTCGGCCAGTTATTGGACGCAATTTCAATCCAATGCAATATTTTATTCTTGAGTTATCGTCTCCACAAAGAGTGTCAAAAGAGACTAAAATTCGAAATGAATTTTTCGTGATTAACGCCTATTTTCTTTAAATTATATTAAATGTATTCTTCCACGGTTCCCGTCAATTTTCAAACCGGTTGTGTAAAATATCATGGTCAATTATTGGACGCAATTTCAATCGAATGCAATATGTTGTTCTTGAGTTATCATCTCCACAAGGAGTATCAAAAGAAACTAATCTTCGGAATGAATATTTCGTGATTAAAACGCTTCGGCCTATTTTCTTTAAATCATATTTAATTCATTCTTCCACGGTTCACGCCAATTTTCAAACTGGCTGTGTCAAATTTCATGGCCAATTATTGGACGCAATTTCAACCCAATGCAATATGTTGTTCTTGAGTTATCGTCTCCACAAAGAGTGTTTTTTTTTAATGGGCAGGTTGTTGATCTGCATCAATTTGACAGAAGTCTTGGCGCTGACCAGTGTTTGTGTAGGGCGCCCTCTTCAGGAAGAACTAGAGAGTAGCAAAAAGCACACTGTTGGCCGTTGATTATTGTCATTGTGTGCATGTTTTCTTCCACGGTTCCAGTCGATTTCTACTTTTTCTGTCATTACATCAAGACTAATTATCGAACGAAGATCCATTTCAATACCATTTGTTTTTTCTGGAGTTATTGTCACCAAAAGAGTGCTTCATATTTTGTTCAATTAAAGTAGACTAAGATTCGAAATGAATTTTGTGTGTGATTAAAACACTTATTTCCTTTAAATCATATTAAACTCATTCTTCCCCGGTTCCCGTTAATTTTCTAACATCTTGTGTCAAATAGCTTGGCCAGTTATTGGACGCAATTTCAATCCAATGCATTATTTCGTTCTTGAGCTATCGTCGTCCCTACAAAGAGTGTGAAAAGAGACTAAAATTCGGAATGAATTTTTCGTGATTAACGCCTTTTTTCTTTAAATCATATTTACTGTATTCTTCCATGGTTCACGTCAATTTTCCAACTGGTTGTGTCAAATTTCATGGTCAATAATTGGACGCAATTTCAACCCAATGCAATATGTTGTTCTTGAGTTATCGTCTCCACAAGGAGTGTTGTATTTTTGTTTAATGGGCAGATTGTGATCCGCATTGACAGAAGCCTTTACGGTGCTGACCGTGTTTTGTGTAGGGCGCCCTCTTCAGGAAGAAATTATGACTAATCATCGAACGAAGTTTAATGATTTCATATGTGTTTCTAAGTTGACAGCAAATTTCCCCAAAAATTCCAGCGCGAATTAGAAGCCACCACATATTTGATTTTGTTCCGATTCGAGCGTACAATAGTGCATTCGGTCCCTCAAGTCCCTTGAAATTGACGCACAATTTGACTTCCCTAAAAACGCCACTGAATTATAGAACATGTATATGATCTTGGTTTCTTTTTTTCATTTCACAAAACTACAATTAATTTGGTTGGATTTTTGGCAATATGCAGTTTCCTTCCATTTTCATTACTTATTATCCCCCATTGACCGTCGATTGCAATTTTCTGAATAACGCTGCGACTTGACAAGTCCATGGAACCGTTTGGCACCAGTTTCTAATCAAATTTCTGCCAAAAGCAGTAAACTTTTCAGAAATGTTTTCGTCTGCCGCATTTTAATTTAAATGAAAAATTGTTGTAATCCAATCAAATTGACCAGATTGACAAGCTGCGGTCACTCCTCGCACTTCTGACCAATCGCTGTTGCCCGTTCGCATTACGTCACCAGCCTCCCATCGTCTGATTCTCATTCCAAAAAAGTAGGCCCTCCAGTTTGATCAAATAAATATTTGTCGCCAGAAATTTCACGTATTCTTCTCATTCATGAATGCATTCATGACCGTACTTATCTATGTTTTTTTATTACTTCAAAAAGCGCAAAGATCTCCATTAAATCCCAACAGAGGGCGCTGTCATTCAATTACAGCGGGAGCATTTTGCTTGATTGCTCTAAAACAGAGGGTCGGAAAGGAGTGTTCAAGGTTTTTTTCCCTGGATGGGTCTTCAAATCTATTTGTTTGGGCCTATCCCAAGTTAATCGTTTTGGACAAGAATAATTAAATTATCAAATCAACAGAGGGCGCTATCAAATCCACATTCAAAACCTACTGCGATCGGCCACTTTGACTGTCGGGGAAGTCAAAATGACAAAAGCACAAAGATCTTTATTGAATCTCAACAGAGGGCGCTGTCAATCAATCACAGCAGGAGCATTTTGCTTAATTGCTCTAAAACAGAGGGTCGGAAAAGAAACTGTCATGTTTTCGCCCCGGATGGGTCTTCGGATCTGTTTTTTTTCTTTGGTCTTTCCCAAATTAATCGTTTTGAACAAGAATAATAATTGCACAGGTTAGCACTCATCTAAGACAGAGAAACAATAACATATTGACCACAGGTCTTGACTTAAATATTCGTTTTGGGCATTATAGGAGAGCCTTCATTTTACATTCTTAACCTAATTATGATTACCAATAAATGCACAAGAGTTTCTTGAAAAGTACAAATAATGAAGTCATGAAAAAGATGTACATTGATTTTATTCGGTAATTATTTTGATATTCTGTCCAGCTGTCCGTATAAAATCATGCAGTCATTTCGGCTATCTCCAAATGTCCTCTCATAATATATGACATCCTAAGTACTTTGGTATTTTCCCCTCTTATACTCCCTCCTTTTAAACCCACAATTCCCCGAAAAAAATCTCCTGGACACCCCTGATCAAAATAGATCCCTGTGTATTTTGGGTAAGATGTGGATTACATACGTTGGAACATGTTCCCTTCGGGGATCATTGTAAATGGTTAAAAAAAATACTCTGCAGATTTACAACTTATCCTTGAGCAGCTGGTCAAATGTTTTTGTAAGCATCGATGAAGTATCGAGTAGGCAGGAACACGAGGTCTTTGAAACCAAACTGTTGTGTGAGGATTACGACACACCCCCATGTATTCTCGGAAAATGGACAAACTTGCAGTTACAGTTTCTTCTTAAATTGAGTTGAGTACCCCTTTACTTTAAAACACAGGAAATCAATCCCATTTTGACTTGGACACTACGTCAGAGACCCGGGGTCAATCGCTTCTTGGGAAAGACGAGAGATGCGACCAGACTATAACACAACCCAAAGACGTCTTAGATTTATTTGAAGAACCTTCTATGAGAAGTGAAGATGACCTCTGACCCTCTGAACACTCAAAGCACATATCCCACGTATACGACGTCGGCTATACGAGAAGAACAGAATACGAAGACTGGGAGAGTTTAGTGACGTCATATCTACGTGCTTCCCATGAACCGTTTCGTCCAAAAGACCCAGACTTGTGTTTTCCTTAAACTCCGATGACGACTGCACGCTTGTGACTCTAGGTCTTTCAACCTGCAATTGACGCGCCTCTCATGTCTGGAATACTGAAAAGAAGGTTTTCCAAACCGTTGATGCTTTTTACTAATCAGAATTCTTAATTAGAAACATTCTCTACAGTCTACCTTGTGTCTGACATCATTGATACAATGCGTGCTACACGTAAGTTAGACCAAGCACACGGTTTGATTTTTTTCATATTGTTTATTACTTTTTAAAATGAAATACAGGCCTATCCTGTTGGGTCTTGTCTAAACTAATGCACTTCGAATTCTGTCACCGCCCCCCTGAAAAAAAAAACCGGCGCAAGCGGGCGCCCTCGCAAAACGCTTCCTTTCTGAACTACAACGTGAGTTCACATTCCACTCCGCACGTTCTAATTATTATAAATAGTGCCCTCTTGCGTTAATATTCTAGAAATGAATAATTTCGAGGGGCAATGGATATAAATACAACTTTCCGGCCCTTGTGAAAGCTTGGAGTTCAGATCCGTTCGTCTGCCCCTGAGAGATCCCTTAAGGGTTTTGCAAAGTTCCGCCGCTTACGTCTAACATCCCCCACGGACATAGCGAAAGGTTCTTCAAACACTTCCTACGGAAATATCATCTCAAACTTTCCCCCCCAAAATCATAAAACTATGACACTTTCCGGGCCCCACATGACAAGGGCCACTTGGCAGGGCATCGGTTAGGGGGTATTTATGGGATGTGTTTTTCACGTTTCAATGTCTCGGTGCCGTTCAACCGTGCTTTTGTGGCGCGTCGATCGGCGCAAGTACGGGCGATGTAAATCGCACTCCGCAGTCTGCCGCGATGGGACTTGTACGTAAGCGCGTAATGTCGAAAGCTCGAAGCTTGCTCGCCTTGTATTTGCGCTCGTTTTACGTCAGATGCCTGGCTTGAACGTGACCGAATAGTATTGGAATAAAAACAAATGGTATCTTCAATTACTTGTGGTTAACTTGAAGGTAGACATTTGGCAATATTTTGCCAAACTTTCACGTTTTAGATTGTTTAGTGACCTTATTTCAAAGGGTTCACAGCTGAGAACGACAGCCTTTTTGTTATATTTTATATGAATGGCAGAATGGTTAGGAGCTTTTTAAAACCCGCGCTACAGTACTGTTGTTGGAGAGGTAATTCTAGCTCAGGTGAAACATGCTAAATGTATCAAGGCCTACCAGCCAAAACTCAGGCACTTTGCACGGTCCTCGTGTG